CCCATGTAAGTATTTACATGGGGACGTAATTCTGGTTTGAATTTCAGTACTACTTGTAGAAATGGAACACAGTCTGACTTACAAGTAGGATTTTTTGGAGGGCGGAGTTGTTCTGTTATCATAGAGAAGTTATGATAATAAAATCCCTGTTTAAATTGTTTACTATTTTTAATATGCACACACTGATACGTTTTTTTCCTGCTAATTGTTGAAAGAAGTGTGGAAGAAAGGAAGACTACCTAACCAAAACGATAAAAATCTTGGTCTGTATCAGGTGCATCTTAGTTGAAACTTTCATCCTTCATGTCCTCCAGAAGACAGAAAACATTGTGCAATATCAAAAGAAAGCATGGATTTGAGCCAACATGCTTTCACTTAGCACATACATTCTGCGTGTTGTGATTTGTACAAATTAACAATATTGTTAGTGACTACACTTGTTCTAAGCAGTCTTTGTTTACAAATGGTTTAGATTATATTGCCTAATATGTATTCGTTTTTTGACAGAAACAGAGGAGTTGTGCAGGCAGATGTCAGGGGAGTATAATCTAATAACTGGTTTATATAATGTTATTGACTTATCTTTTCTTGGCATATAACGTAATTTTTGAAATTCTGCGTTTGCAACAAAAATGTGAGTAGCTGATCTATGTTAAGATGATTGGTTTTGTATATCATGAATGCTATATAATTGTCTAATTAAACTAAATGCCTATGTAATACTGCTTATTTATTTATTTATTTACTTGAAGAATTTATTTCTGTCTGGCTAGGCCAGAGGCTTGCTAGAACATACCTATTGCCCTGTGCTTAAATGTTTTGTTTGTTTGTTTGTTTTTCTCCTTACTTAAATGTTTTTGTCACTTTAATACCTATATTGCAACTTTTACATGCACACAACTCTCCAAATACCTTGTGGTTGCAAGCTGACACCATGTCCTTGGACAAACTGGCTGCGTAGGTTTCATGTCATTGAAATAACATTGCAATGAACATCACTTTTGCAGATATTAAAAGAACAATGCCTGTCAGTTTGTTTAGCTGGTTCAGCGTGAAGCAAAGTTATTCTTCCTTAGATGTTCTTCCTTCTCTGTTCTGTATCCTGAGACAGGATACATGCCACTTTTGGTTCCAAAATGATGTACAGGAGCACTGGATGTTAAGAATCAACTTTTTTTTCCCCTCCTACATAAGGAAGTCTCAAATATTTTCAAAGCACAGACTAAATATCTGCATTGCAGTGGTTTCCCTCCTTTTTATGACTGCAGGTGATAATGGCAGGGCTGTTTAGGGGTACTTATTTAAAAAGTAGAACTGTTAGATATTTGTGAAGTTGCTGTGTGTATAAACACAAACTCGTATACGCATTGCTTAGCGTTTTTTTTAACAGGGAGGAAAGAGAGATCTTACTACCAGCGCTTACGTTAAGCATCCTAGCCAATTTCACAGTAGAGTAGATACTCCTGCACTAATTTTACATTTGTAAAATGGGAAGGATGCCTACTTGTCATTGTAAAACACTCATGAAAAGATGTTTGTGTGGTGTTCTGTGGTCAGTGTTTACATAATCATCCACTTAACAGCTGTTGATTTCAAGAGTTGAAAAATTATGTTGTTTCTACTGGCTCTATGTAGTCAGCTGAAAGACTTGTTGCTGAACTTCTGTCCTCCTTGGAGGGAAGTGAAAGCGCTAGGAACTTTGTCTGGGAAGCTTTGGAGCTATTTACAGGTTCTCTCTTGTTTCCTGGTGCATGTTTTCTTCTGAAACTGCTGGATATTTTTAAAGCTGATTTTTAACTCAATCCTGTAAGCAAGGATCAGTTTCTGCATTTATGAGTTTTTTGTTTGTTTGTTCGTTTGTTTTGGCTTGTTTTGGGGCTTTTCAAGTTTCCATTATCTGAACTGCAAAAGTAGTAAGACTTCTACAAAGCCTTATTATGGGTTTTTAAATCGTAGAAGTCTGCCTGGGAAACACCATGATGTAGTGTATACAAACACATGTATTTGTTAATGTGCGTATTTTGGGGATTTTGTTGGGTTTGTTCAGTTCTGTAACGCTCTTTCCCGAAACTACCATGGGAATTAAGGAATAAGTTCAACATCAGGTGTCTGGTGAGCCTGCTCATGCCTTTGATGCCCCCTGCACTCATTTTGTGAAATCCCTCATCCCAGAGGTGTTCAATATAAGAAAAAGTAAAGGCTATCACAGTTAGAGGAGAATCAAGGATCCTCCCTGATTCTCAGCATGAGTCCTTTAGGAATAAGTACCTGTTGATGCAATTGCAGCCTCCATTCTTCTGCTCTGGTGAGTCTTGCTTCAGCAGCACAGCCAAATTGTCACAGGGTTGGACCTGGGTGGCCTACGTCCTTGAAGGCAAATGTCAAAGACTTTGTCATGTGAGAAATGCATAAGATTTTGAGATTTGCAGAAGCACAAAATCTGACCTTTACTGAGGTGGTTGTTACCATTCCAGCAAACTTTGAAGGGTTTTGATATTTTAAATTGTTCTAACTGATAGCTTTGTTAAACGGTAATCTGTTTGGAGCCATATCGTTCCAATGTATGCATTGTGTAAGGCAGAGATACTTGGCCAGTTCTTTTATTGATGGTGCTCAGCATATCTGTGTTTTCCTCCTGGAATCTGAAGTCGAGTGAGATTGTATTCAGGCCTGGGGCAGTGATCAGCAGCTTGTTTCAAGTGGATCATGTGCATTGAGCACGTGTGCTGCTTGTCGCGCAAATGAAAGCGGGAAGGAATCAGTTCTGCAGTGTTATTTCCCCAGGGACAAACCTCACCAGCTCTGTAGGAGTAAGTCAGTCGGGTCCTGCGCTGCAGTTTCCCACATCTCCATTTTTGGGATGAACTCTAAGAGGCATGAGGAGATGAGGTGTCTAGCTTGAAGATTCACAATGAGATAAGGACTCTGACTGGATTCCCCCTTGGCCCTTTCCCCTTTCTGTAACCGTTAAGATGTACAATTCCGTGTGCAGAAAATCTGCTACTTCTCTCTGCTGCAGCCTGGGATTTTTTTTCTAGGTGAATACCCAGTCTGTCCTAGCCTTCAGGATTTTTTTTAGTATTACAATATTGTGACTGATAGTTGCTAAAGAATCTGTGAAAATCATATTACTGACAAACATTTTTTAACTTCATTTAATTTGTGTGAACCCTGGCAGTCTTCCAGCCCAACTTTATTCTCACTGCTCATTCTTGTTCATAGATGACCTGGGACAAGTGACATGATGGAGGGGATGATGGAAATGCCAACAGGGAAAGTCTCAGAGCCGATTGTTTGCATTGTGCAGAATATATATATATGTGTATATATTTCACTTTGTTTTAGCTTGTGTGCTGTGTGAAGCAGAGGAGCATTCATCACCACTTATGTGAGGTCAGTCAGAGGCTCCAATCCCTCCAGAAACATGGCCAGCCTTGACTGTGTTCTTCCAGTTTTTATGTGTAAGTTCATTGTATTGAGATATCTCAAGTTAAATTTGGGGGAAAAAATCAGTGGCTGTGGGTTTGAACTGGGAGCTACAGCAGTGACCAGTGAGGTGGCTGCTGGGTCACGCTACTGGAATTTCAGCATTGTTGTTTAGAGGTCTGAGGACCTTTGAGCCACACCTTATGCACCGTATCTTTCTTGTGTGCGTGGGTGGCAAAGTATTGATCAAGTTTGGGACACAACTGCCTAGAGATAAGAGAATATTTAGGAGCAAAGAATGCAGAAAGATGGTCTCGTCATTCATCATAAATCTCGGATGTGAATGTGATGTTGCTTCTTTCACTTTCTTAATTTTTATAACTACTTTGTTCCTCACCTTGTGTAGCCCTCGCTAGCTTGACATAATGATTGGTATTGCTGAACCTTGGAGTTACACTGACCTCTGGTTATTTGTAGGTAAACAATTGTAAATGTTTTCAGGTTGTTGACACATGGCACAGAAGAAGCAGGACAGTTCTGAATTTAGGCTATAGAATCATAATTTAATTTAAAAACCAAAAACCCTCTAGTCTCTTAATCTTTCTGCAAATAAGCTATTTTTTGGGGGGTAATCGTTCTGTTATTCTGTTCTGTATGTACTCCTTTTACTGAAAACTGCTTTCCAGAACAGCAGTTCTTACTCATTTTACTTACACAAACTTAGTATAAGTTTACCTCTACTTTCACTGTTTTATGAATTGATTTTGTTTTGCTGAATTGTATGTCTCTAAGCACTGTAACCTTTTATGCCTTTGAAAATCCAGCCTAGATGCCAACGATTAGAGTTTGGAATTATCTCCGAATGTCTTTTATTTTTAAATAAGTTGCGGTGTGAAGTTTAATATTGTGGGTACTGTAGTATTTTATTTTTTACTACACTTGGCTTTTCAGTTCAGGTAATATATTTTAAATAAAAACCAGACTAGATAAAGAAGACAAATGTTTGTGTTGTGCAATAAAAGTGAATTATACTGAAAATGGTTGGAATCTGGCTAACCTGGTCTGCAGCTACTGCACTCCCTCTCTTCGCATTCTGTGATTTGAGTTTGCCTTGCATGACTGCAAGTGATAATTAAGACAGCAGCCTCCCTCCCAAGCTTTTCTTAATGGCACCAGCCAGTAACTTGTTCATCAGCACTTCCTTAACAGATGGCACTTATGCAGTCTGCTGGCTGCCCGGGGAGTCTGACTGGTATGATATAATTTGAGTTCTACTTCCTTCCCCATACCCACCCATGCGTGTGAGACATCGCAGAAAAGGTCCAAGTAGCCATCCCTACTTGTGCCATGCTCTGAAAGAAAATTGTTCCTGGATTTGCTTGGCTGGCTGCGTTCAGAAGTGTTCTCCCTCCGTTTTGAAGTAACTGAGCTGCCCTTTTCCTTGCTGCCTGTTTGTCCGTCTGAGGTGAGACCTGCTTTCGCAACTGGATGTCTCTGCTGAATGGGGAAAAAACACGCCAAGTGACAGCACTGAGTAAACGAGAAGGGAAAGAGGAATAAGTTTTAAATAGCAGCAGCTCTTTCTCTTTCTGCTGCAGTCAGCATAAGTGCACACCCCATGCCATTCATGGGAGCAGCCTGAGCTGGAAAAAAAACAGAGTTTTGATTCAGAAGCAAGGCGGCTGTCGGGCGCTGGTTTGCTGTGGCTGAGAGGAGAAGGGATGGCACTGAACGGCGCAGAGGAAAGAGTGCAAGAGGAGAATTTGAGGAGGACGTTGGAGCCCCGCAAGGATGCAGCTCTCTTCCTAGCTCCAGCTCGTGTGGGACACAGGTGCTGTGAAGGGTCCCTGAGGTGCTGCCTGCTGTCCTGTCCCTGTCCTGTCCCTGCCTTCGTCCTCGCCATGCAGCTAACGAAACATCAGCCTTTCCCTGGACCGTGTCTCCTGGCCCTGTGGTGTTTAGAGCCATGGCTTAGTGGGTGACACCGGTGGCCGGGGGGGACGGTTGGAGCAGCTGATCTTGGATTTCTCTTCCACCCTTAACGTGATTCTATGATATAGGGCGATACTCTACGCTATAGGGCGATATTCTCCGATAAGTGCGATTCCAACCCTTGGGCTGAGGCGGCTGCTGCTCAGGAGCCCCAGACACCCCACCTTTCCCTCCCCCTTCCTCCTACGACCTTGCTTCTCCATCCTCACCCCCTTTCGTCCCCAAATCCCCTCTCCCTGCCCCTCCTGCCCCTCACCGGGGCCGAGCCCCGGAGCCTCCTCAGCGGGGCCCGGCCCAGGAAGCGACGTCCCCGCTCTTCCGTGGGCGGCCGCTGCGGGGAAGGAGGCGCCGGGCCCGGCCGGGGCCGCTTCGGGCCGAGGGGAGCGGAGCAACGCGGCGGGACCCGGGGAGGGCCCCGGCAACCGGTGAGACCCAGCCCGGGCCCTGAGGGGACCGGGACCGGCCCGGGGCAGCCCTCCCGGTGCTGGTCAGGGCGATGCCACCGGGCTGAGGGGCGCAGGGCCCTGCTTCCCTACCTGTGCGGCTGCTAAGGCTCAGCCGCTCTTAGAATCGCTCTCTTTTTTATTTTTTTTCCCCAATTTTTCTTTCCGTGGGTACGGTTCAGTCATCTCGTTTTGCTTTTCCGTGCGTGCGCTGTGGTGGTTGGGGTGGGAGGCGTCGCCGGTAACTTTTGCAGCTCGGCCCCCGCCGCCTGTTCCCCCTTTCCCTGGTGGATCAAGGGGGTTTTGGCTCTTTGCTTGTAAGTGGGACGCCTTCTTTTAAAACAAAATCCGTTCAACTCAAGCCAAGCGGAGTTTGCAGGGCACGTTGGATGCCAAGTGGCGCGTTTCGGGTGCTTTTGTGGGTGTCCGTCATCGTACGAGCACCCCGAGTAGCGTCCAAGTCATCGCCTTGAAGCGACGCGTCCGTATCACCCAAAAGGGTGTGAAACGCTGGGAGATGAAACACTGGAAATCGAAATACTGGGAGATGAAACACTGGGAGACGAAATACTGGGAGATGAGTGACGAGCCTGAAGTAACCAAAGTGCTCACGGGGGTGTGGTTCGACGCCGGTGTATTAATTTTGCTTGGGCTGCCCTTGTTGGGCGCTGTCAGCGCTGTGACGGGTGCTGAGTCAGCTGGGAGGGTTGTTGGAGACAAAACCAGCCCGTTCCTTCAGGCTGAGTGGGGCCTGGGATGTTTTTGGAGGAAGTTTTGGGAGCAGGGAGCGTTATGGTGGTTGTGCTTTGCAGCTGTTACTGACGAGGCCCCGCTGTACTGGTCTGCTTGGCTCTTGTAGTCGTGAAGCTGTTCATGAAGAGGTGCCTTGGGCTGGCAGCACCCGATGTTGGTGCTCGGGGCAGTGTGCTGAGCACCTCCTGGTCTTCTGGAGCTACCTGGGGCTCCTTCTGGACATGATTACATTGTTTTTTTTACAGGGAGAGGATTAGGAAGAGAATCATTGCTCAAACGGGTGTTTTGCTGACCCAAAAAAACCCTCAAACAACACACAATGGAAGAATAAGAATATAAAGCTAATTACGCTAATTCCTGAGATCACTTTACACCACAAACAACAGGCACCTGAGATACCTTGAAGTATTTTGTTGAGGGTGCAGTGAGCTTGCTTTTTAATCTGCACCCAGGTGAGTGTGGTTGACGTTGGCAGAATGAGCAAAGCCTGTAGAAGCTGCTAGCTGCTACCTCTGAGGAGGTTTTAGAAGTTCTAGGTAATCCTCTTCTAATTTGAATTCCAAGTCAGGCTGTACAAGGTGATTTTTGGATGTTTCTTGTGACTTTGTTTAGAAATGCAGGTGTGAGCCATGTGTAGGTGGGGAGACATGTGCTGTTAATTCATCAGTCCACGCTATTCCTGGCAGAACAGTCGTTAAGAATCTGATGTGGACAAATAAAATTGTAGCCTGAAGTCTGTATTGACATTGGAGGGGGGAAAATGCTTTGTCCAGTCTTTAGTTAGTGAACTGACTTTCAGATCGTGAGCAGTGCAGGTTGTTGGAGCCTCCTGACCATTAGGCTCCTGACGTTTGAAGCAGTGGTTGCCATTTCCCCTGCCAAATTACAGTACAAGACTGTGGTTGTTTCCAGGTTGAGCTCTTTGTCCGTAAATACAGTTAACAACTATTTATTTTCTCTAGAACATTAGTCAACAACCCGTGCTGTGTATACTAGGAAGCAAATGTTATAGCTGAAGTTTCTTATTTGCAAAAAAAATGCACTCTAAATTTGTGAAGACTCATGCAATCTCTTCTCCAAAGAGAGCTCCTCTGTTTCTTTCCTAATTCTTAGCTTGTCCAATGGCTTTTGTATTTTCTGTCAGTGACTCTTAGATCATCCTCGCCCCACCCTTTCCTTTGGAGGAAACCAGCTCATGTTTAATTAGCTTTCTGTTAATTACACACTTGAATGTTTAAGGTTGCGTGTGAGTCACGACTATTTCAACACTTACCTGGCTCTGAAGGACGTTGTGGCATTTGGGTCGATGGGTGTTCTTTGCATTAAATACTTGGCTGATGGAAGAGAGTAGGATGGCTCTGTGGGTAATTTGCAAGTTGGTGTTTCAGGGTGTTTGCTTTCAGATATTTCACTTAAAAGAATTAATCTGCTTCTTCAGTTACCAGTGCTGGTAGTGTTTTGTACCATGTAGCTAGAAAAGATGCTTTCTTTGGCTTTGAAGATAAGGCAATTTATCTGTTTATGATCACTTTCATTTGAGATGCTGAAGTAGCTTCTAAGATCGATGTGTTATTTTTCCACAGCCCAGATGTCCAGTTGTTAGAGACCTTAACCCAGTTCCCACCCCTCTGTTTCGATGCCTTTCCTAGGCTTCCTTGTAAGCTTATTTTCAGGGACTGAGCTTCCATCCAGCTTCAGGTGGGACTCGCTCCTCTCTTGATCAGATGGGAAGTGCGGTGCTGTTCAGCCACCTGAATTATGCATTTGGAGACTGCCCCAGCTTTGCTGCTTCTCCTGCTCTAAAATCCCATGCCTGGGTTGGCCATAAATGGGTAGTTTCAGCGGGTGATGCTGTACCAGCCATGCAGAGAATGCTCTTTGGAGCACTTGGATGTTTTTTTAATGAGAAGAATTACTACGAGTTGTTCATTAAGTTCTCTGAAGGCTTAAACTCGGAGAGCCAAAAGGCATTTGCTTCAGTCCAGGGGAAAGACGGGTGTAGATCGCTGCTATGAGTTGTGCCAAGGGGTTTTTTGAGAAGATTCAATTTCAAGAAACAGAGTAAAGCGATGGGAAAAAACAAGGAGGAATTCAGATGTCAGGAGACAGCGTTCTTTATTTTTTATTATTTTAAAATGTTCATGTTCTGCTCAAAAGAGCAGCAGACCGAAATATGCAAGCCCAAGGCAGTCTCATACCTTGTGCCAGACAGCCTGAGTCTGTTGTGTGAGGTTTTCTCCTGGTTACAGATGTATTTTAATGAACTTTGGTACCAAAATTGAAACTTGCTTACAGAGCACTTGTACAAAGCCACTGCTTATATTTGCAGGGTTTGCACGCAGAGTTATTTAGAAGCTGTGTTTCACAGCCTGTAGTAATTATATGTTGTCTTGCAATTGCATCTTAATAAAGGCACCTGTAGGTTGAGACCCCCACATGATAAGTGAGCCTTTTCAACCAGCTCTTCCATCAGAGGTGACCTAAGCAATCCAGGACTAATAAATAGTGTATGAATAAGTCAATAACTTGTCCTTCTGGCAGTGATGCGGTCTGCATGGACAATAAAGGTATCTGCTTGCCTCCTGAGGCTCTGGGAATTAAGGTAGGTACACATTAGAAAGGAACAAGAAAAACAAGGCAGTGGTGGCAGACCTAAAGATAAACCATGCTGCTTCCAAGCCTTATTGCATGAACAGTGCTTTTCCTAAAGCCAAAGCTATGCCTGCAGCCTCTGCAAACCCCAAAGTGTTCTGAAAATTATCTTAGGTTCATTACTGAAAAGAATGTGTTACGTAAGTGCAATCTTTCATGTGTGCATTAAATCAGTTCTTGGTGACAGCTCCTGTTTGGATGAGAGGTGCCCCTTCTTTGTTTTACAATGAGGCTAGGAATGCGCTCGCTCTTCGCTGTCAGTTTGATGCCTGCTTGAAGACTTGTGCTATGAATTTTTCTGGCTATTTTGCAACCTGCTCTGTGTAGAATACTGGGTTATAGCCTCTCGCTGTTGCTGAGAGCCGTGAGCCTGACATGAAAGGTGCAGCATCGTGGAGCGCTGCTTGCTGCTACTTCTGTGCCCTCTACAGCATACTGGAAAGATGGCCTGAGGATTTATGGCCTTGTAATTGACAGAGAGCGTGCTTTTGGGAGTCCAAATGGTAGGATTGTTTGATGTAGCTGGCCTAGAATCAAGGCATCGTGTGATTATCAAGTGCCTGCAAACTTCTGAGCTCTCTTCTTATCCTGTGAGTTGGGAAGCAGCTGATGGGGAAGGTTGTGCCCGTAGTCCCGGGGGGGTGCGATGGCAGATCATCAGAGAAATGAGGTGGAATAACACCTGGCTGCATAATTCAGTGCCGGTGCAGCCTGGTTCCTTCTGCATCAGTGGTTTTACACAGCAGCAAACCAGACGCCAGTGGCCGGGCATCCAGCCTGGCGTGCTCAGGACTGGATCCTTGAGAGGTGGAAGGTGAGCTGTGAGCGAGGTGCTGCGCTTCGCTGGCTGTCGTAGGGTGCGTTCGGGTGCTTGTAGGTATTTCCCAGCCTGTGTAGGTTGTAGATTGCAGGTTACAGATGTTGCCTAAAGATGAAACGCTTTGATAAAATCCCTTTGTAGGTTTAGATGTCTCCGTAGTGTTTGCCATGAGAGACTTGGGCTCCTGAGGCCTGAAACTGAAAATCCTTGGAGGTTGGAATGTGTTTTATTGAGCACCCACACTCAATGAACACTGTCTTGGTTCAGGTCAACAGAAAAGTTTTCGTAACAACACAAAGCCCCCTTCCAAACAACCTCAATGCTTTGGTTCTTTTTCTCCTATGGTACTTGTACCAAAATATGTTCCTGTGTCATGCTTGTCCTGTGTCTGCCTAAGTAAATCTTCATAGATAGACCGAGCTGTGCGACTCGGGGAAACTGATGTGGCTGTAGGCCAGCAGCGTGTTGCAGAAGAGTTGGTTTTTCTGGCTTTGGCTCACACGTCTGCTTCTGTGCCTGTGGTAACCGAATCCCTGTATTGTTTCCCCAGACGTTTTTCACTTGCAGCTATGACAGAGTCACGGAGGAACTGCTGGGCAAACAGCTGGCTTATCCCCTGTGAATGATGTGTTTCCATTTTCTGAAGAAAGCTGCGGTTCTCTGGATATTCTTTTGGATGCCAAACTTGGCAGGAGGCACCTAAGGGTGTGAGGAAGTGCTGAGAAACCTCCGAGTTGGTATTGCACGCCTCTCAAAACACTTGCTCGAAGTATGTGAGTGCTCAAAATCCTACTGAATAAAAGGAAAAAAATAAATGAGCTTAGGAATAATAATATAAAACGGTGTTGATGGGAAGATGTATAAGTTTTAGAACGAATTGCATTAAAGGAAGTAAAAAGCTATTTCTGAATTAAACCGTACCATCTTCTTACGGACTGGGCACTCTAACAAAAGGATCTAACAAGGATGCTGATGAGAAAGCTGTGCAGGGACATCTGACCTTTCAGATCTCCTTTTTGGACCTTTGATGTGCAAGTCTTCAATCCACGCAGCGTGACCGGTGTCTTGTGCTTCATCCACCAGCATTGCGCGAGGGTCCGGGTGTCGGGCACATGTCCAGCGACCCCCTTGGGCACACGTGGTCCTGCTGGGGGTGGTTCAAAGACCGTGGGTATGGAGAGCAGCTGAGCCTTTCTCCATTTCCAGTGTCAGAGGAAAACGGCAGGGCAGAAGCTTTTACTTGCAAATAAGGAACATGGGGAAAAGGATTTTATAGACTTCTGTTTTAGCATCAGGGAGGTGATGCTAATTAACATGGACGTGAATCTTTGAGGGGTCTAGTACCAGTACAGAAAATTCTCTGGCGTGGTATTTATGAGGAAATCTGTAAGAAGCTGTCACTTCTGCTTTCCCTGACTACGTTCACAGCTGAACAATTTGCATTTTTTGAGCAAAGCAGCTTGTGAGTACAAATAAGCCATTTACACAGGCGTTTGCTCCTGGGAGGGAGGAACAGTGCTTCTTGCAGCTGTTGAGAAGTTTTATTTGGGCTGCAGGAGCTGCAACGAGGATGCTTGGAGCAGGGCATCTCTCCAGATTGTGTAACTTCAGCTATCATCTTCTGGTACTTCGATCCTTCTTGATTATTAGCATTATTAATAGAGCCTGACTCGAGGACAACCCCATGTTTGTTCTTTCTTTTGGGTTATGAGCTGAGCGTTGGGTAGTTGATACATTCAGGGTGTGAATGCAAATAAAAGGTCTGGCCATGCAAATCCATCGAGGAGCTGGGCTTTGGATAAAGAACAATGCACCTTTAGTTGGAGAAGGAAGGAGAGATGGGAACAGAAGAAGGAGAAGGAACTTCTGAGGACCCCAAATGCTCTAAAAAAAAAAAACACTTTTAGGAATGACAGATCTTTTGTTTGCAAGAAAGTTGACCTGGGGTGGATTGTTCGTATTCAGTTTAAATAAACTCCTTGGGTTCAGTGTATTAAAACGTAAATGCTGCCACGTGAAACGTGGCTGTGAACCCTTTCTGTCTTTAAAGGAAAAAGCCGCGGCTCTGAGTGCAGCATGTGACTTCTGCACATCGATTCAGCGTGACCTCCTTTGTCCTGCCTCCCAGCCTGATGTAACTGCAACTGGAAATACTTGAGGGGAAGAAAAAGAACAGCTCGTTTTCTGGTGGCTTGGCTTCGTGGCTCCTTGCAAACCTCTCCAGAAAGAATGCAAAAAACCTGAACCTCGTTACCAAGAGACCTGCTTCGCTCCCTCCTGTGCAAGCTGCTGAGCCGTGCCACTGAGCAGAACCAAATTTTTCGTTCTGGAGGGGTCAGCAGGATGCCAGAGGTGGTCGTGACACCAGGATGTGGTTGAAGCCCTGTGGATGTTGAAAGCTGACGTGTGTGTGTGTCGGTGGAGAGATAGGAAAGTGCCCAAGTGGCACAGAAGCCGGGGTATGCTGCTGAGCTGTCAGAAAGCCAGGTGTCAATGTGGGGATTAGGCAAGATTTCGTTCCAGTCCTTTCCTTTTCCAGAAATCCAAGTGCCCGAAGCACAGTGCTTTTTGTTACGTACAGCAAACATCTTGGTTATGGCACCGGGTGACAGAATCCAGTTGCAAAACTGTCGTGACTTTGACCCTTTTAGTGGGTGATAGGATCAGAGAGAGCATTTCCTTGCGTGATAGAGATCAGTGTAAAATCTCTCTGAACTTTGTGTTACGAAAAGGGTTTTATCTGCCATGTCTTCATAGCTCTCTGGCATTTATAACTGAGACATCCAGGCCTGTCAGCTTTGCTGTGAGTATGGAAAACTGTGTGGTGGGTTTTTATCTCAGGCAAGAGAAGGCTTTAATCAAAATGCTGCTCCAGCTTCTGTTCCGGGAAGCCGTCCCTCTAACCCGCAGGTCAGGAACAATTGTGGAAATTGCAATCCTTCACTTCCCCGTTCGTTTCAAAATTTTTTACAAAGGCTGTGCATGGTGCTCTGAGAAAGGGCTGCGCTGCCAGATCCTGACGACATGCAATTCCCATCCCGTTACTCCGTTTAGCTTCAGGTTGTGCCGCTGACAAAAATTTGATTGCTAATTTCTGGTGCCTGATGGACTGTTAGTCTGCAGTTCTGTGCGCTGTCGTCAACGTGAACACCTCATTAGAGGAATCAGAAAATGAAAATAGCACAGAAACAAGGATTTTTTGGAAGGCAGTGAGGGAAATAAAGCTCTAATACTTAAATTGTAGTGTTTTCCTAACCTAAGTCTACAACAAAACTATTTTTAAGCTTATTTTTAGAAACTCATTACTTTTTTCAAAGATAAAGATGTTAGAGGAGGGAGCCTTAATACTTACGTAGATGAGATGGAATATTTAATTTGTTCCTCCCTTGGAGAAAATCATACATTTCCCATTACTTAAAATAGCTTGTTTAGATTAACGGGGAATGTTTAACGCTATCAGTCTCTTAAATTAATTGATCATATAGGATTCAGCTTGGAATAAAATTGCTGTTGTAGAGTGGAAAACTGTCTTTGGCAGTGGCAGTTGTGCATCTCACTGCTGTCCTCTGCTGAATGGCTCCGGGAAGGACTGGGGGCCCTTTCCAAGGCTGTCGAGCAGCCGAGCTCCCGGGGGTGAGTGACCTTTGCTGGGCAGAAATGCCAAAAAGCAGAGGACTGCGTTCTTCAAGTGTATGGACTTCAGGGTTCGCTTGGGGAGAAACGAGATTGCTCTGACTGCTACTGATGTTCTTTATTTTAAGGAGACGACTTTTCATCTTGGTTTCACATGTGGCACCTGAAGGAACACGGAGTTCCTGAACTACCAAGATGCCTTCCTCAACTTACGCAAAGAGCACTTTAGGGGATCCAGGGGTGAAAAGGGGCTGAGTTTGGGGCCAGACCTGCCCTCCTGCACCCCGTGGTGTTTGTTCTAGTGTCTGCGTATTTCGGTAGTGTGATCCCAGTGCCGGTGTCTTCATGTGCACACCTGAAACTCGCAGGTGATCCTGCACTGCCATTATCCTGAAATGAATCCAGCGTTTACAACTGGCACCAAGTAGCTGGAATGCCCTTGGGAGCAAGCTGGCACGTGGGCTGGCTTCTGTCGAGTAAAAAAAGAAAGGGGAGGGCTGGGTGGTGCAAAACCAGTGTTTTTGTTGTGGTCACTATGGGAATTCTGTAGGGCTGGGTGCAGACGCGTAGCTTAACCCTGTGGTAACCTGAGCACTGAGTGAAATGGTGATGCACCTCATCCATGTTAACATACCCTGCTGGGATCCTTCCCTGTGCTCTGAAGACACATCCCATGGAGCCAAAGATGCCTTCGCTGAGCTCTCACCGGTTTTGCCCTTCGTGCAAACAGCCTGGGTGCAAAGCTATTTACGCTTTGCCTTACCGAGTCCTCTTTGGGGATGGCAGCTCTGTGTTTCTTCTTTCCCCTGCTGCTTTGTCCCTGCGTGGCTGAACAGCGTGTGGGTGAGCTCAGAGACGCGTGCCATCACCGGACGGCTGGCAGTGCTGGGCTGTTCTCCCGGCCAGCTGCCGAGCCCTTTTTGCAGGTCACAGCCATGCAAACGTATGCTAATGCTGCGGCTGCGTGCTTATGTAACTGCCCTTCCTCCTCTGGAATTTCCCGTGTCACCATGGGACTGACTGCTCAATAATTAAAGCAGGTGGCTGCTTTCTAAGAGAGGAGCCTTCAAACAGCGGGCTGTTAGCACGTTTCTGTCTCTTAACCCTTTTCTCTTTAAACAGGAGGAAAATGAACCTGAAATCTGAACGCAGAGGAATTCACGTTGATCAGTCGGAGCTCCTGTGCAAGAAGGGATGTGGTTACTATGGCAATCCTGCTTGGCAGGGCTTTTGCTCCAAGTGCTGGAGAGAGGAATACCATAAGGCCAGGCAGAAACAGATTCAAGAAGATTGGGAGCTGGCAGAGCGGTAAAGAGCCCTCTTTATGCCTTCGTCTTTCACAGTAGGCTGACTCTACTAAATACTATTCCTGTCTCATGTTTTCTAGTCCTACTTGGCTCAGTTTCATCATCAGTGCTCAAATTTGACCTTTCCAGCAAGAATTAAAGTTGTCTTTTTGATGCAGAAATTAATTTTTATGACATTCTAATTTAAGACGTTTCAAAAGAAAGCCTGAAGTAACAAATGTAAACACCCCCCCAACCTCTCAACAAATACTTTGACCTATTTGCATACTGAAATCTGTAATTCTGACTAGCAGTTGGAAGGGTCAAAGTGACAATTTTGATTAAAATCTCTCTGCCTCTGGAGATGGCAGTTATTGTGTATTGAATACAGCCAGCACAGTGGTTTTATGTTTCAGCTACTGCTTAAAAAACTAATTTTAATCTCAGCTGTGGTCATTCAACAGACTTCAGGGTTAAACCGAAAGGCATCCAAGCTTTAACTTTAATAACTGAAGCAATTTTTCTAAGCACATATTTTCTGCAAAATGGTTTAGTTTTTCTGGTGTGATAAATATCTGACTCTGAAATTGGGAGTTGAGAGAAATCTATGCTTGACTGAGAAAGTTAGAGCAGCCACAACTGCATTTTGTTGGATTTGGGTAGAAAGTAAAACCAACATCCACTACCTGAGAAAAGCGGAAAGTATCTTCTCGCACCACAACTGTACTTTGTGCCACTTCCAGGTATAAATTAAGTGATATCCACTCAAAATTAAATGCTTCAAGGCTTCATGAATTGCAGAGATGAGGCTGCGTGTTAACTCTAAGAGCCAGTTGGCTTGAGCTGGTCAAGATGTTTGTTCACGTGGACACAGATTCTTTGCATATGCTTACCCTAATGTATTATTGGTGTATGCTGGAACTCTAGGAAAAAGTACAAATGCCTGAGAAAGCTGAGTTTAGAACGCTTTGATGAACTTGAGTTACCTAGTGATAAATTAACCAAAGTAATTTAGAAAAAAAACACCATGAAGTGCAGTTTTCATATCAGCCTGCCTGTAGAAGGTGATATCTGTGGAAGCTCTCTGGGTTTGAGTTCAATCTTATGATTTGGAAGCCTGGGTTTCTGGGTTTTCTGGCATCTAATTATACCAGAACCTTTTACCTTAAGCCTTGAAGTAGTGTGGCTTTTTTTTTTTTTTTTTAATTCTTTTAACTGTCACTGGAACAGACTAACTGCAAGGATAGGTAGAATGAAGTGCACGAAACTTGTAGCCTAATCAGAAGGTTGCAGGTAAACTGTTGAGTACAGCATAGGGGATGTGTAATTTTTTTTCCTGTTATAAATTTGGCTTAAGAATTTTATTATTACTGGAGCAGATAGTTATGCTGTCAGTATGTAACTATGTGCAGTAAAAATGGGCATTTCAGAAATTCTTTAACAGCTTCAGAAATTCACAAATTTCAGAACATTTCAGAAATTCTTTAGCAGCTTGAAGAACAGTGTAATTTAACCCATTTTAATTCTCCTGCGTAAGGAGAACAGTAACCATTGAAGAATTGGTATTCCCTCCTATCTCTTGTATGTTAAAGGGGGCTTGGTCTTTGCAAAGCACCGTTAGTGTTGCAGGGAAGTGGTCTGCCTCATTCATTCAAGCAAGCATATGTATTTCCATGACTTTGAAAACAAGTTATGACAGCAATAATCTGTTCCCCAGAATAATTTTAAGATTGTGAAGGGGTTTGTCACTTGCTCAGTTGTGTGCCGTGGTTTTTTATCTTCCGTAAGATGATAAAGGAAGATGAGCAACTCTCTGTGAATGGAGAGATATGGTAACGGCTGATAAGAACAGAGGGGTTGTCTTGAGATAGCCAAGGCATATTTGGGGTTGAAGGGAACTGTTTGTCAGTTGATGAAGACATCTCAAAATAGAAAGTAGTTCTGGTGATGTGCAGTGAAACCCCCAAGAGGAGGACGTGGGCAGGAAGTTGGCTATAGGAAATGTTCCCATAGAGGTGAGGGGAAAGACTACCTCTGTGGGATTCAGGGTTGTGACACATTGGGAAAGTGATTGTTGTTATACTTTGGTAATGTCAAAAGGGAGGAGACAGTTTAATCTTCCCTGGCTATCTTAAGTCTTTCCTCTCTTTCCCCATTACAACACGGGAAGAGTGGATTTAATGTAGTGAAGGGATGTGCCAGAGGAAGCTCAAAATGAAGGTGGGCATAGAGGAGAATTGAAATGTCAAAGGAGTGAGTAATTTATTGCACAGGAAATTAACTTATTTGTGCTCGCATTAATCAGTTAAATGAGACTTTTTCCTTTCTAATCTCAGGCTTCAGCGTGAGGAGGAAGAAGCGTATGCCAGTAGTCAGAGTACCCAAGGGGCGCAGTCCCTGACCTTTTCAAAATTTGAGGAGAAGAAAACTAATGAGAAAACACGGAAGGTCACTACTGTGAAGAAGTTCTTCACTGCTTCCTCCAGAGCAGGAGCTAAGAAGGGTAACTTTTTCACCTTGTTTTTAATGGTTCTATACAACACATTAAGTTAACAAGTATTTTTGACAGATATATTGTCCTGCAAGGCAGGGTAATGCTCTGTGACTTGACTTGAAAAAGTTGGGGCAATGATGCTTCTTGAGAGCTACTTCTGTATACAAAGTCTTACTGAAAACACACAAAAATGTGAGCTTTTAGGTGTTGCTGAGTGAAAGTATCTTGTTTGTGTGACACACGTTCGTGCTAGAATCATGAGTTGACCATTGTGTGATCCTGTGGTTTAGAACATGAACTTGAACTCGTCCTGAAGAAAATGGGAGACAAGGTACTGACTGTCAGTCATTTCCAAAAAACTGGGATCAGCATTTCTGTTGCATTTAGACATACAAGGTATCAGGTGATGCTGCCATAATTTATTGCTTCAGCAGCTTTAACAGGAAAATTTGAATGTATAAACGTGGTGCCTTTAAATGAAAATAAATGTGAAAGGAACCTTGTAGTATTTACATGTATGTGGGTTGTGAATATCAAGTCTGTATTTGGCTGAATGTTTGTTCTGGATCAGGTGTACAAGTAAGAATGATTAATGACTGATGCCTTTGCATGGCAATAACTCACATGGGTGAAACTTGTAAACCACTAGACTGGAGGAGGAATTCCAGAAGAAAAATCAACATTAATGTATTTTAGCCTTACAGGTGATGCATTTCTTTAATAAGAATTTTTAAATAAGTCTCTATTTCATCTTAGAATTTGTCTTGGTGTATAAGCAACAGATGGCTAAATGAGACATTCGGCTATGTATGAAAACCATTTTTTACGTTCATTCTTCACACTTCCCATATTTTCTTTTTTTATCCCATTCGTCATCTCTCCTGACATGCTCCTGCTCTTGGTGTCTTGCTTGCTTTTGCATTTATTTCAGCAGCTCAAGAGAAAATCGTTAAGCAAGGACATCTTGGGAGGGAGCGAAATGCTGATAACATTCTCAGGGATTTGAAGGAAATTTTTACTCCCTCCTGGGAACTGGCTTCCCCTACTGAAGGTAATGCAGCACAGCTTGAGCAAGCTGTCTGCTTGGTTTTAGTAAGCTTACTCTTTAGTTGGGCTTTGCAAAATACAAACTAGGGTTGTGCCAGTTATAACCTGTGCTGTTGAGTGTAATGGTGACCAAAAGAAATAAAAAAGCAAGTCTAGAATTCTGAAGGGAAATTGAATCTCTAAACCAATTGTTAGCTTTTTGGTAGGGACAGTACAGGAATAAAGTTGAAGCTTCTTTGTGTTCTACCTTAGCTTGATACCTGAAGGATTATGCAGTTTCCAAAAAAAAAAAAAAAAGAAAAGAAAAAAAGAAAAAAAAAAACCTACCACAGTTTGTAAGAAGTAGCTGGGTCTTGTGCTGCTTCATATGTTTATCAAAAAATAATTCCAGGTTGCAATTATAAAACTGATTATAAGTTGAAATGACTTCAATTTAAGAGTTCACGCTTCAAGAACTTTTACATCTTCAAAACATCTCCGGATGTTTGTTATATTAAGAAGACAATTTCATATCAAGAGAAGACAGACGTGCTGGTTTTCTTTAAACCCAAAAGACACCAAAACCCCTGATGCAAACAGCTTTAGGATCTTATCCTATGCTGTTTGCAGTTGTGACATGGTCTGCTTACTAAAGAAATTTGCAGATGTACCATGTCTTTATTTTGCAAATTATACGAAGAGTATGAATGCATGTGTGTAGCAGAGCTAACGATAGGGCTTGCTTCATATTCTTTGCTTGGACTCAGATCCACGACCATGGCACAACCATAGTGACTCACTGGAGTGCTAATGTTCTGCTGTGACAACTAGCATCTCAGTAGAATGCCTTGAGAAAGATTTTAATATGGATACTGCTTATTCTTTATAAGAGATGATCCTTTCTTAATTCTTCCTGTACTTTTAATTTTAGCATCTCTCCTCTAGTAGGTTCTCTTGTTCAAATGGAATTTCTTTCCTGCAATCAGCTTCTTTGTAGTTGGACTTGATTCTTTTAGAGCACGTGAAAAAGCTGAAAACATTTTGTTGCTGAAGCTACATTTGTTCCTGCAGACTTTAATGCTCAGTGCATATTGTACAGATTCAGTTTCCTTAAACAGGATTTCAACACAAATCAGTGAAGTTGCTGTGTTTGAGTGACTACCTGATGTTCTTGGTGTGACTCAAGTCAGGTCATTCTAAGATTCAGTTTTTTAATACCTACATTAGCAGCAAACTTGCATCAATTGTCTGTATCTCTAGTATCTAAAACCTGTTTTAGATCTGCAACTAAAAAGTTCATATCCATACTCATTGAGCTGAAATAGAATGCAGTTCTTTATTTTTATGATAAAGTGAGATCAATGTTGAAAATTAAATAAATCTTCAGTAGTTCTTTGAAATAAAAACACTAATTGTAGGGGAAAAAATGATAATTCTACTCTTTCGAATGTTACCCTGCTTTGTTTTATGATTTTGAAATTATGCTCTCTACTTACTGATTACGTAGTATTAAACGTGACAAAAGTCAACAGTAAGTCCCTTCAGCTTGAATGCTGTACTTGTGATTTGAGTCTTAGGTGTAAAGATGACTGAAGGAAATTCCTTCTGAAAGTGTTCTAGTATAACTGGAACGGAGGTCGATTTGCACTTTTTATCTTTGTTGCTACAGTTGTAGCTGTACATTCGTATAGCTTAAATAGCAGAAATGGTCTAATGGAACCAAATCATTATCCAGAGAAGGTTATGCTGAAGCCTAGAGGCATTAACAAGCCTTGTGCTTTGGTCAAATGATCTTTTTGTGTTAGTCACTGGATTGTAGAGCTCTGAATTCACTATAGTGCTGTGTCTCTTTAAAAACAAATAACAAAAAAATTGAAAAAAAAAAGCTACTTTGAGTCCAAATTAAACACACCAACTTAAATATACTAACGCTTTTTTGCTTATGTGAGAGTTCTGCCTGTGTGCTCCTTGAAACAAGGAGCTCTTGTGCATGTTAGTATTTTCAGGTTGCAAGACATGTTTGTACCCTTTTGATTTTGAATATTTTCATGTTTTCTGTTTCTTTGCTGCTTGCTTTTCATCATGTTCATGTACATCATCTCTATTCAATCCTTCATTTTGAACAGTGTTGGCTGGCAAATTGAAAGGTGGGTGAACTAAACTTTGGTAGGGAAGGTATTGGATCAGTACAGTTAACTTCCAGCGTATATCTTGGAAAATCAGATGTGCTTGTGGGATAGCCCTGTGTTTGCAGCTGTATAAACTTGCAACCAGTGCTGGGTGCACTCTGTATACCTCCTCCCTTCTCAAGGGCCAAGCAGGTTCTTTCTTGAGCAGATGCAATGCTTCTGCTTTTGCTGAAACACAAGTGGCCGAGTTCTCATTTATGCTGCAGGTGTGACCCTGTGGCACCAACTGCCTAGCCAGAGGGGCTGCTGTGTTCTCACCAACCTTATGCTCCTTTTCCTTGTTTTGTGCTGCTGCTGGTGCTCCTGTGACCTTTTCAGTAAGCCAGTCTGGGGAGCTAATCCTCCTGAAAACCCCATAAGAAAGACTTGTTTCTGACTAGGAACCTAGAGTTGCTATTCCCTGAGCTAGGTCATGAGCCAGTTGAATAAATGCTTGTGTTGGTGGAAGTGCGGGAGCAGGAATGTAGAAGTGAGGGACGATGGAAATGGGACCACACCATTAGCTTAAGCTGCTGTGGAATCCCATTGGCAAACCTTGATCTCATATGGAAGGATTTTACCTAGGAATGGAAAAGTAAGAAGTCTGAAGGCAAACAAACGTTACAGTAATTTGCTAATATACAAAGACCGGTACTATAAATGGGGTATGTGGCTCTAAGTGTTTCACTTCTCTAGGAAACTAAGTATTTAATTGTTCTATTTAATAATATCCAATATTTCATTGCTAAGAAATAGACTGCTTTTTCATCTGCAAGATAAGGGGGAAAAATCTGAAGTCGTAAATGTTTCTTGAATCATACACCAGTGTGAAAAGGCTAATCTGATGTGTCCAAACTTTCCCAGCAGAGATCCAAGAATCCAAGTCTCCCAGCCCTTCTATAAACAGGCAGGCTAGCATCGAGACAGATCGAGTATCCAAGGAATTCATAGAATTTCTCAAGACATATCATAAATCAGGACAAGATATCTATAAGCAATGTAAATTATTTTTGGACACAATGAGTCATAAAAGGGTAAGTGATTTGCATGTCTTTTACGTAAACTGGGGAAATTGGTGAGAGATGGAAAAAGTGCTGCACTTCTTCCAGCAGTTTTTTAAACAATGTATACAGGAGTTTTCAGCTGGTGTGCTTAGTCAAATTGAAGATGAATGCATTACTGTTTGTAGGTTTGCTATGGTATATGCTGCAAAACTCAAACTTCAGTATCTCAGGTATCTGGAGAGAACTTTCTTTTGCATCCCAGAGAAATCACCAAACTTGGAGGAGTTGTGGACTCGAATGAGGGTGGAAAGGCCTTGCAGAGGGATCTGGATAGGTTGGAGAGCTGGGCGATCGCCAACCGCATGAAGTTCAATAAGAGCAAGTGCCGGGTCCTGCACCTGGGACGGGGAAACCCTGGCTGCACGTACAGACTGGGCGATGAGACGCTGGAGAGCAGCCTAGAAGAGAGGGATCTGGGGGTCGTGGTAGACAACAAGTTGAATATGAGCCGGCAGTGTGCCCTGGCAGCCAGGAGGGCCAACCGTGTCCTGGGGTGCATCAAGCACGGCATCGCTAGTAGGTCAAGGGAGGTGATTGTCCCGCTCTACTCTGCGCTGGTGCGGCCTCACCTCGAGTACTGTGTGCAGTTCTGGGCACCACAGTATAAAAAGGACATGAAACTGTTGGAGAGTGTCCAGAGGAGGGCTACGAAGATGGTGAAAGGCCTGGAGGGGAAGACGTATGAGGAACGGCTGAGGGCACTGGGCCTGTTCAGCCTGGAGAAGAGGAGGCTGAGGGGAGACCTCATCGCAGTCTACAACTTCCTCGTAAGGGGGTGTCGAGAGGCAGGAGACCTTTTCTCCATTAACACCAGCGGCAGGACCCGCGGGAATGGAGTTAAGCTGAGGCAGGGGAAGTTTAGGCTGGACATCAGGAAGGGGTTCTTCACAGAGAGAGTAGTTGCACACTGGAACAGGCTCCCCAGGGAAGTGGTCACTGCACCGAGCCTGACTGAATTTAAGAAGAGATTGGACTGTGCACTTAGTCACATGGTCTGAACTTGGGTAGACCTGTGCGGTGTCAAGAGTTGGACTTGATGATCCTTAAGGGTCCCTTCCAACTCAGGATATTCTATGATTCTATGATTCTATAAATTAGTTCTGAAAGATAAAATGCCTATTGAATAAGCAATCTTTTTGATAAACATGATTTTGGGAAGTAGTTCTATATTACATATTCAGTTTTTAGATAGCTTAATATCTTAGATAGATAAAATGGTACAAAGATAGAAAGGGAGGTGTGCAGGTTGATACTGCCCTCTGGGGAAAGAGGGTGACTTGACTACTTTTTTTATAGGGAACACAGGATATATTCAATTTCTCAACATAAAAGCTTAATTGCTCTTGAAAGATTAATGTATCTTTAGTGCCACCTATGGTTTAAGTAAGGCAGTACAACTTTTTATCCCCCTTTCTGTTTAATAAGCAGCTGTTCAAATGATATCCTCAAATTGGACTGGAAATTGAAAGGGAGTTCTGATGGAGCCTTACGTGCATTCCACTTTGAAAACATCTTGGATTTTTGTTTCTTTTCTTTTAAAACTGATCTATTCTGAGCATAGAGTTTGTGAAAATAATTATTAGCTACAAACATTAAAGTTGTTCTTGGTTAACTGGTTCCTTGACAGTTTGTGCTAGTCAAAGAAGTCTTTCTCAAAACTTAAAATTTGCTACTACTTATAAACCAGGTGTAAAATGCAGCACTGCTACTGTTAGAGCTGAGATTACATGTTTGTGCTGTCTTGGTTTTGGCCTTAGAGAACACAGAAACTAAGTTCTCTCATCTTTTTTTTTTTTTAAGTGATGGTTTTATGCTGCCATTCAGTGGTGTAAAGTGACTTAAGTATAGTTAACTTTAATCTTTCAAACATACATTCTGTTCTTCGTTAGCTCAATTAGTTAATGCCCAAAAGACAACGTTATTTCATGAATTATGTGAATATGTTCATAGTAACTGTATTATTAGATGTGTTTACTTCATAGATACTCTTTCAGATTTGTAATTTACATTCCTGTTTTTTTGGTATACTGAATATCATAATTAAAAAGAGACAAAATTGGGAACAGGCATTCTACTTAAACAGTCTACATTGTCTTCTCACTGTTACTCAGAGATGCGGCTGGGGAAAATGACGTTGCATCTGTCTGGTTCCATTGCTAATACACAGCTGTTCAGTGAAGAACCATAAATCTTTCATGTGTTAAGGAGCCAGTCTTGGTTTTTCATATTTTTGAATATAATGTAGCCAACATAAACATATCTGAGGAGGATATATTTGCATTCTTAGACTGTTATTGCAGCTGGACACTTGCCATCAAAGGCATTTTTGCCATTTCTTCTACACATGCACGCTTAAATCAATTTTCTGTTGCAGGACTTAAGTATCGAGGAGCAATCTGAATGTGCCCAGGACTTCTATCAAAATGTAGCAGAGAAATTACAGACACGCTGGAAAAGTATCGTGTTCTTCTTCCTTTTATCCTAGTGCTAGAAAAAAAGTAATGTTTTGAGGATAAAGCTTCTTGCGTTTTCAAGTAGAAGCAAAGCATTCCTACCCACCTCTCAGAGATGGTGTTAACAGATTCTAGTCTGGTAGTATCGCTGCACTATTCCCAGCAGCACCATTTCTGCAAAGTTTTACAATCTAAATTATTTGTTTTTGCAGGTTTTCTTTAAACTCCCAATTAAGATGGTTCAGATGTTTTCATTTCCTGTTTTAAATTCAATGTTATTCGTTTAAAACTGAGGTTGAATGTGTAGCCTCAACCCAGTTAGCAGTATTATTATAGTGTTATCACACTGCTAATACTCAAAAAGCCAATGAGAGGGGAGTGCTTCTGTTGCAGACTGCCTTTCTGTGTCTGGTATATAATTGGCACATCTTAAACACACTTAAGGATTTTTTTAGAGAGATAAGCAGGCACAGAAAACTTGGAGGACCTCATTGGATTTATTCTCAGACTGTTTTTTAAGAAATAATCTTGTAAGCTACAAACAGGTGAACCTAATTTGCATGCTAAATGAACGTGCTTCATTGGGTGCCAGTGCATGTACCTACCTTGGTACATCATTACGGTGTTCTTACCATTATATTTTTGCTTCTGCTGTTAAGAGTGAAAATACTCCAAGTATATCAGCTCTTTATCAACTCAAGAATGTTTATGAGAGTTGGCTTGAGTCAATGCTGCTGTTTTGGTGACATTAGAACCAAACTGTATTAAATCTTCTAAGCATTCTAGGAATACTATGTTTACTGTGTTGGGTGTGGGGAATTTGTACCTTTCAGTGCCCCCTGAAAAAGTTGAGAAGGCAATGGATCAGATTGAAAAATACATTATGACTCGACAGTATAAATACGTATTTTGTCCTGAAACAACTGATGATGAGAAGAAGGATCTTGCCGTCCAGAAGAGAATCAGGTAAGCCTTTCAAAGAAAAACAGCTGAGTAATCCACAGTCCTGTGAAAGGGCTCTGAGTCAAGCATGTTAAAAGTCTGTTGCTGTGCACAAAAAATTGGCAGGCTTTCTAAACAAAAAGTTTTAAAAGCATTTTATTTTAATAAATAGAAGGAATGAATAAAATTATTAACGGAAGATTTACTTCACTAGCAAAATAAATTGGTGTGCTTTTGTTAAGTTAAAGCAAAAAAAGGAAAATATGTTTTTTTCTGGAAATAGTAAATTACTTCAGTGGAATAAACTGGCTTATAAATGTTCTAGTGCCTCAAACAAAGCACTCATTGTGCATTGAATTCAAGAAATAGCTGGCTTCCAACATCTGAATGTTACTGGCATGGAATGGTTTAATGTTTTTTCGTGTCATAGGGCTTTGCACTGGGTAACTCCACAAATGCTGTGTGTTCCTGTCAATGAAGAAATTCCAGAAGTGTCTGATATGGTTGTAAAAGCAATTACAGGTTTGTGATTGATGAAGTTTACATTTACAGTTTTAAATTTCAAATCTCCTATTGGGAGAAATTATTATCTGCAGTTCAGACTTTTACATTTGCAGTAGTCTTTGTTGTATTGAGCTAGTTTGTCATCTGTGAAGCAGGAATAACTGCTGTCAGAGAAGTGCTTAGTCTTACCTAACTTATTTGAGATGCTTGGACTGAACCAAGAAAAAGCTGAATAAGCAGGTACTTTAATGGAACATCAAGCACCACAAGATAGAAAATAATGCATTTTTAGTATTGTGTCCACCTTGTCTTGTTCAGGTGGCTGTTTCTGTGGCTTTAATGATTTGAGAACTTTTCTATTTTACAGATATTATCGAGATGGATTCAAAGCGTGTGCCTCGTGATAAATTGGCATGCATCACCAAATGCAGCAAGCACATCTTTAATGCTATAAAGATCACAAAAAATGAACCAGCTTCTGCTGATGACTTTCTTCCAACACTTATATATATTGTTTTGAAGGGAAACCCACCCCGTCTGCAGTCCAACATCCAGTATATAACACGATTCTGTAATCCAAGCAGGTTAATGACAGGAGAAGATGGCTACTATTTTACCAATCTGGTAAGTGCAGGAACAGTGTTGACACTTTACACAACAACAGTATCTTTCACTTAGATACCGGAATTTCCAGTAAATGCAAACATGGTATAACATTGTAGAAAGAAAATTAAAACAACTCTTCAAATAGTGCTAAAGGTTATTTAGGGTACAGCAAGCTCTTTTGCTATGTATCTCTTCTTTCTTTTTTCCCTGCTTTCCAAACCAGAGTGTTTTGCTCCTCACAAGATGGAACCCTTTATTGCATTGTCTGATGCAGAGACTTAGGCATACTTTTATTCTGTGAGGAGATAATACTTTTTATTCCTAAAATCCTGGGCTTGGGCAGTGCAGCTGTTACAGATGCAGAATTCCCTGTATAAGCCCATGAAAGTTTCCCTCTTGAAAGGACTGCAGAATTAAGTCATGAATGAGTGGATGAAAAGAGACTTTTAAAAGTGTTTGTTTATATTATAATTATGAACTTGGCTTCTCTGCGTTACATCTTAAAGCAAGTGTTGAGGAAAACATACTTGAATGAGATGCTTGGGATGTTAAAAATTCTTGTCAGTAGGAGGAGAGCATCCATGAGGTAAGATGGGCATCTCAACATTGCTTCTTCCATGAAATGAACATACCATATCTCAGCCGATCACATGATTAAATGTTATCCACCAAGTCAGAATAGTTCAGCTGAAACGGTATCTTCTGGTATCATTCTGTGTTTTTGACTTCTTCAAATTTTGGGAGGAGAGAGATGCATGTGAACTGTCTGATATAGATAGCTTCCTGGAAAGCTCTTTATGAATGATCTGTTTAGACACAAAATAATTGTTTTTTGGTCTAACAGTTTTACTGGTGTAACAGCAGGATTTAAAAATAATAATAATAATAATAATAAGTATATATATATAACATACAAATTCCAGTCTGTAGCTTGTGATGATGCTGACTTTGTTTTGTTCATAGTGCTGCGCTGTGGCCTTCATTGAAAAACTGGATGCTCAGTCTTTAAATCTAAGCCAAGAGGATTTTGATCGTTTTATGACTGGTCAGACATCCCCGAAGAAGCAAGAATCTGACAGCTGGTCACCTGATGTGTGCCTGGGTGTTAAGCAAATGTATAAAAACTTAGATCTCCTGTCTCAGTTGAATGAGAGACAGGAAAGAATTGTCAGTGAAGCCAAGAAGCTTGAGAAAGACCTGATAGATTGGACTGATGGAGTTGCAAAGGAAGTCCAAGATATTGTTGAGAAATATCCATTAGAAATTAAGCCAAAAAATCAAGCCTTAGCAGCTATTGACTCTGAAAACGTGGAAAATGACAAGCTGCCCCCACCACTGCAGCCTCAGGTTTATGCAGGATAATTAAAAGTGTTAACTTTGAAGAGTGTCATTATTCTCACCTAGTACTATCCCCTTCTTGGAAAGGGAAGTAAATTCAAGGCTAAAAATCAGATGAGCTTAAATCAGTACATTTTTAAAGGTACATTTTTTTGGTTAGGTGTAATAAATTGTATTTATTTTAGTCAATTAGATTTCTATTAGGCTTTTGTGAGTTTTTGAAATGAATTTAAATTTTCTACACAAACAGTGTAATTTTTAAGCAACACTCGTCCATTGACATATTTCCAGAAAGCTTCCTTCTAGGCATGCACTTAAACATTTTTAATAATTAGTTTAACTTACAGATTTCGAGTTCCAGCAGAAACTTGAAAGATACCAATGTTAGCTTGGATTTATTCTGTAGCTGTAAAGATGAAATATATATTGTAAAATATGTAAAATTGTAAATAGATTGAAAATCTAATGTCTGGGTTGTGCATGACATCTCGTGTATTAGTGAAAATGAAATATGGAAGTGTTCACATTAGCACCTTTTGGTTAAATCACATTGCAGTATAAAGGCAAGAACACTGCTAGTGTTTTCAATAAACTAGATGGTGTAGCTGATGAATCAGAGAGGATATTCTTGTAATGATTTGAGTTCACAGTTATTGCCATCTAAAACTTGACTTTTCTTCATGTAAACGTTCTCTGTTTTGTCAGTATACCTGATAGCCTTCAGTGGTGTGCATCAGTGCTGCTACCACTTTTGAAGAGAATGTTGAGCCAGGCTTCAGAAATAGGAGGGAATATGTTGAATAAAAACTGCGTCATGTGGAACTAAAGGGGGAGGGAAGGAGGTAATGAAGGAATTGTGCCAAAAGGGGCTTGCTTTTCTGGCATTGCCTAGTAATTTCCATCACTGGGCTAGGTCTTGATTGATTTTTTAACAATCCTGGTCAATAAATAAGTTCATATAATTGGAGACTGCCTTTTAGCAGAAGTATGAGCTGTTGCTCTGAGCAGAAAAGTGCACTTTATTTTCATGAAACATCACTGTTCAGATCTTTAGTGACCCTCTTTAGCAAGAGAAATTACCTTGCTAAAGAATTAAACGTTGAGATAAATACAGCTTTATGTCGCTAAAAGTCTAGATCAGTGTATTTCGGGTTAAGAGCTCACACTGCAAAAAGTAACCTCTTGCAATAGAACTTTTTTATGCCAGTGAAACATTTTATATCAGTTTAAATATCTCAGTTAATCCAGTCTGCCTTGACTTGTTAGTGTACCTGAGATATCTAGCACAGAGCTATTTAGCTTGAACTGCAATGTTAAGTTGTTACCATCAAGGAGGGAAGTACCTACCTCTTTCATGTTCCACTGCTTTAAAAACAGATACTTTAAATTTGCACTGCAATAATTTCAGACCAAAACTGTGTTTTGTTCCTTTTTGTCAGCTATGTACGAACTATGCATTCCTAGTGTTTCAAAGATAACCAGTTATCCCAAATTCCTCTGATATGGTGAGGCAATGAGCTAGTCAGATGATCACAAGAAATTGGATTATTTAATTTACACATGTGCCACTTGCCCGAATTACTTAGGATTTGACCAGTGCTTGCAGTAAACAATACTGCAAAGTCTTTCTTTGTTTTATAAATACTAGGTGCTAATTCTGATATCCAGGTACACAGGTTGGGGGGGTGGGATTAGCTAATTAGCTATTGTATAAATTGCCATGTTTAAATAAACGTGTGTACATCATGCCTTTGTTAATGAGTTCCCAAAATCTTGTCACTGGGTTTTGTTATGCTGTTAATGATTAATGTAAACATAATTGTGACTGATTCTGGTATCTCTGTGTCTAGGGAGGGAGAATTCTTAGTCATTCAAGTGCAAGTCTAGGTAACAATGTCTTTTTCTTTGCAGAAAGATCATTGTAGTGATTAAGTACTTAAGAATGACTTGCCTGGTGCATTTGTAACTAAAGTATCTCCAATTCATATGCCTTCTTGTTATCAAGCCACTGAAGTAGGAGTGTTTTGGCAAACAAATCCTCCAAATCCCTGTAAGGCAGGTAAGATGGATTTCCATATTCCATCTAAGAGTCAGCAAGCAGGAGTAGAGCACTTTGCTCTCAGCCATTGTGTAGCCTGGGCAGCAGCAACAACTCTGGGAGCACCTCTCCCAGGAACTTGTGTTCTGGTGTTGAGTAACTAGACTGCTGTAAGGCATTGTCAATATTTTATTAGGTGAATGAACCCGTCTGTAGGTAAAACAATAAATAGTTTTGCCTAAAAGTAAGGTAGTTCAGTTGTCAGAGTAATAACTGCAGAATCTCTCTCCAGTGTTTAAAATTCAGAATGGGCAAGCCACTGTGCTGAGTATGCTGAGAAGGTGAAGATGCTGAGCTGGAAGGAGCCACATCAGTTATAGATTATGAATTGTCTAGAGCGCTGTACCAGGTGGGGTTGGTGCTTGATACTGGGCGTCACTGTAGTATGAGATGCTCTGGTCCCACAGATGAGGCTGAGATATGGTTAGACACTAAGATTAAAAAAAAAAAATCTAAGTTATGAAATAGCTATGAACAAGTTACTAGTGAACAGGAGAGTTTAATTGAAATACTGTCTTAAAGTGAATTGGAGTAACAGCTGTTGTGCTTTGGTAAGTCACAGTATCAGATTTTATTTTTTCTTCCTAACAGCCCACTGCTAGTTCTGTATTACTGAAAAGGAAGACTGTGTGTCTTATTACCAGGAATCAGAATTTCTTGTAAACTACTTTGCATGTGAGCTACCTATTTATTTTGCTGTAGTAAAGAACCTATTTTGGAGTAAGTTCTGGTTAATTAAACTGTACTGTTTCACTTAACAGAGTTATGAAATTAAACTGATTCTTCTACCCAGTTATCAATGTTCACCAATCTTCTGGTATATATATTTTTTCTTGTGGCTGGGCATCTTATGATTCAGGTAGAGAAACAAAGAAGCTGATATGTATAGATATTTAATTAAAAAAAAAAAAAGTTTAAAATTTGGGGGGAGAACTAGCAGCATTCCATTTAACAAAGAACTGCACCTTGGAGGCTTATGCTATAGGGGCTGCAACAGGGGACAAACAGGTTTGACACTTTGTCTTGGTATGCAGTAGGACCGATTGTGACCTGTTGTCTTATCTCCAGCCACCATCCTTTTGTTAGACCTGTACAAAATGGGTGTATGTTGTATGAGACTTTTTTCTCCTCAACTGTCTGAGAGGCTTGCCAAATATGCATCGACACTACAACCTTCTGCTTTCCAAAAGCTGCAGTCAAGGAGAAAGAGGTCCTTAACTAAGAGAGTTCTGGGACGTCCTTAGGAAAGATGCTGTAGTTGTACCACAGCTATTGCAAGTACTGCAAATTTTCCTTCTACCTTGTCCTGTTTGTGCTAGACAGAGCTGGGTAGGCTTGCAAGGAGACCCTGAGTGTAAGCTGTGTAAGATGCCCAGATGTTCTTGCTCTAAATACTGAGGTTACAGGGGAATGACTGGATAAAACAGCTTGGTAGCAGTGGAGGGCTGGAATTGCTGTTACCTCCTATCAGGAGCTTATAGCCCATGGCCTTGTCCTTTCATGAGCTGCCAGGCCTGGCTCCTCCTTTACTAGGAGTTATTTCTGTATATATTTATGTACAGATGGGTACAGTCCCCACAGCATTCACTTCTGACAGAGCAATCCCAGCTCCTGGCCCCGTGTCCCCACCACCCCGCTGTGGGCGCAAGGCTTCCCCTCCTCTCGTGTTGGAAATGTTACTGTTCTGGTTTGTTCTGTCACGTCAACCGCTTCAGGATTTTGTTCTGAACACTTGCAGGTAGCGGATGCCTTAAACTGGTTGTGTAATTCTTTTTCTTGGAACAAGGTGGGGGAGACAAGTGGCGAGGAAATGCCACCACCGCCCTTAAGGGACCTAAGGCAAACAGGAGCCAGTGGCGGTGGTGACCTCATAAAAATTTCCATTTTCCAACTCTTTCTTTTGACCGTACGGGACAAAAATTCTCCCTGGGGGGCCTCCACACCACCCTGAGGCAGACAGCGGGGCGTACACAGCGGGGGGCACAGCGCCTTCCTTGGGGGCGGCGGGGAGACATCAGCAGCCTCAAGCCGACCGGCCTGAGGTGGGGGGGACCGGGGAGGAGACCCCCGACCCTCGGGGGGGCTGCGGGCCGGGCTCCCCCCCGCTGAGGGAGGCCTGAAGGGGCCGGGCCGCGCGGTGGCGGCGCCGCCACAAGCTTGTCCCCCCCGCGCCACCGTCGGCGAGGGTGAGAGGTGACGGCGGCGTCCCCGGAAGAGGTGGCAGAAGGAGGAGGAGGAGGAGGAGCAGGAGGAAGAAGAGGAGGAGGAGGAGGAGGAGGCGGGTGTCCGGGCAGCGGCCTCCCCCGGCCCGTAGCCCCCCGTCAGGGCAGGAGGATGGTGCAGAGCCCGCCCCGCCGCCGCCGCTGAGCTCCGGGCCTCCGCCCGCCCGGCCCGGGGGCCGCTTCTTCCTCACCCCGACCCCTCCGGGCGCCGGTAAGGCAGGGACGAGGCCTGGGGGGGGTCGTGGGGGTCCCCTCTGAAGCCTCCTCGGGGTCTTTCTGGGCTGTTTGTGCCCCTCCGGGGACCCTGAGCCCGCGGGGAGGGGAGGCTGAGGTTGGGGGGCTGCCCCCGGCCTGGGTCGGGCACCGGGGTCTGGGGGTGTCCTGTGGTGCTGTGCCCCCTGTGCTTTATCGCTAATTCTGCCCTATTGCTTACCCCAAGGGTTTGTTTTTAATTAGATCTTAGCGCCAGCTTTGTGTGCTTGCTGTCGTGCCAGGAAAAAATAGTAAGAAGGGGTAATTCCGGTAGCACGGCCGGTATTTCTGTTGCAAAACGGCTTCCTTCGTTGCCTTTTTTCCTCTTCGCTACACATCCCCGTTTGATTCTCTTCTTGGTTTCCCTAAAGGCGTTGTTTGTCTTTAAGGATAAAATTCCTGCTGCACCATGGCAAGGAGATGGCTGCTGGGTACCTCAAGTTAAATTTAAGCCGTAAATCTTAGCCGTAGGCACGGGCACCCCGGGAGCCATTGGGGCCTGACGAGGGACGGGACTGATCGCTGCACGGGCTTTTTTGTTTGTTTTAATTCCCCTTTGTTTGTTTTTTAAGGGCTTGTCTTCTCTGGGGAAATGTAATTGCATAGTTAGCTCTGCCCACGTTATTACACAGTTGATCCCGGTCGACAAAGCTGGGCTCTGGCTATGAATTATTAAGAGTTACTTTCCACAGCCTCGCTGGGCTTCAGAGGAGTTTTATGGTGCGTGGTGGGTTGGGAAATGGGAATGCCTCCTCAGGCCCGTCTTTTATGGTCAATCATTAATGCCTAAAATACAGCAGGTAAGGTCAAGGCAGCGGTCACCCATCCTCCTGCTTCCAGGTGGGGTGTGCGGAGCCGCTCTGGGCTCACCTGGGGAGCTGTGCCTCTTCCCTGGGCTCCTGGAGGCTGGTGGCTGCAATCCAATGTCTGGTCAGCAGGTGTCCGCATAACAGGGGACAACTTCTGTTGGCAGACTGAGCAGAGATAATATCGAATTGTGCCCGAGAGCCCTGACGCTCTTTGACCCTAGGTTGAGTCCCAGCAAAGAGGATTAAGGCCTTGGTGGCTTTGTTCCTTCCCGTGAGCTGAGGAGTGGCTCGAGGCCCGAGGAATGTGATTCTTCTTTTCCACTTGAAAGACAAGGACTTGAAATGCCGCCTGATGACACAGAACAGGCTCTGTGCTCTGCCAGGAGCAAGGCGCGGAGCAGTGCTTGCATCCGAGGGCAGTGACAACCAGACCTCGGTGTCCTTTGTGTGAGCCGGATGCGCCTGGCAGCAGACAGGACGCTGCTGACTCCATCGCCCCCGGACGGGTTTCGTACCATGGGAGTGCAGCTCCCTCCTTAAGCACTTGCTGGCGGCGTTTCTGTGAGCATCATCTTTATTTTTTATTTAAAAATGTGCTTTTTAAAAGTAGAAATAATGCTGCTTTATCAAACGAGCACGTAAGAAAGTATTTATGAAAACCGTTCGTGTCACAATTTAGTTGCTTTCCCCAAATTTCCCCTTGCTAAAGGCATGGAGGTGTTGGGACTGTTATTTTTGAGCAGACCATTCCCAGCAGACCTGTCAATAAAGCAGGTTCCCAGAAGTCAGAGCTCCCGGGTTTAGTTTTATAAGAGAACTCGCATATGCCCTGGCATGTAGAGGTTTGGTAATTACCTATCTGGAAAATGGAGACTGTTCCTCCACGAGTTTGGGTTAAGCAAATTGAAGTTGTATTTCTTTGGACCAGAGGTGTGAAGTACACCGACGTGGTAACGTCTTTTGGGCTAACATGGGTCTCTGCTTTTTCAGCCGGTGCCTGGTTTTTCAGGTGTTTCTGCTGCCGTTTGTGTTCTTTCCTTCACTAGTGGCCACTGGCTCTTTTTCTACTCCTCTTGCCCTGGCAGTGTTACCTTCTACACGCAGAGCTCCGTTTTGCCATTCCTACTAAAGCTGCCATTTCCTCCCCTTGTCACTCATTTTCTGCTTGTGATTCAAGCTGTGTATCTGTCTGGGTCTCTGTCTCATTACAGTTCTCATTACAAACAACAGTTCTCATTACAGACCGTCTGAAGCGCCTTTTCCTGGCGTTTTTCTGTACTTACCCTGCAGAATCCCGTACCGCCTTCCTTAATGTGTAGCCTTAATGAAGTCAACGATTAACCTCCTTAAACTGGCTGCTAAACCAGCGTCTGATTATTAAGCTGTTACTGAGACTTTTCATTACTTCCTGAGCAAAGCCTTGCGGCGAACTGCGCCCGCGTGGCTGTGGGGGGCTAAATTTGCTTTCTGGTGGAAATGTACAGGATCCACTTCTAGGGGACAGCCCCTAGAAAAAGGAATCATTTTCATTTTGCCTTCCTCTCCCAAGTTCTCACGCTGAAGAGCAGTAACTGGAACAGCTTTATATTTCTGTATTATTATTACTATTATTTTTTTTTTAGACTCAAGGACATTGACGCTGTATAATATTTTATATATATATATATAATATACTATATAATATGTCTTATCCTGCAGCCTGTGTGATGCAGAATATGTCATGTTGTAAGTCATGGCTTTGGCTTCTAAAAGTTGGAAGGCTTTAAAGATGCCCAAGCCAGAACTCTTGCACATGAAAACATATTTTTCCCATCACACAGCCTCGCTTGGCAAGCAGGGCTGCCTTTTTACAGTTTGGCAACAAAATGTCTGTTTTCAAGCACAGGTTAGGTTTGCTTTTGTTTTGCAGCTGGGTGTATTTTAAATAATGTTGGTTTTTTTTTTCTTGCTTTTAACAATGGTCAGAATTCAGGGTTCATTGAACTGGCGAAAGAAAAGGCTTTCTTCACATCATTTGTATTTCTTGGCTCATGACTTTTCTACTCTTCTGGTTCTTCTTCTTTTCTAACTCTTAGCATTTAAAAAGTATTTTGAACTTGTTTGCGTTTATGCAATGTTTCTTTTGGCATTTATTTCTTGAAATTGTAAATTAAGATCTACAAAATTACCTTTGCCTTCCCAGGAGCATTACGCGACACGCCGCGTGCTTTGGGGCAAATCCACCGCAGGCGTTTTGAACTCCAACACAAGTTTGTTGGGCAGGGCTGCTCAGTACGTGGAAATGTCGCATACACAGACATTTGGCTGAGTAAAAGTCGATCTACAAATTTTTCTTGTTATTTTTTAACTCGTCTACCTTTGATTCTGCTTTCTGTCTTTGACAAGAGTTACATACGGGGGCTTGGGGGTGTGAAATTCAGTATTAATTTCAACCTTCAGCTTTCCTGGAAGCGTGACCAGATTGCTTCCCTTCCTTGTCTTTGTTTTATGGGTAGGAGAGCTGAAATGTTTGCTGTTTTTGTAGCTCCCGGGGATGTTGAAATGTTTAATTATGCTTTGAAAAGTGTTTCGAGAGGTGGAAAAAAAACACTTTGTGCAAGTAAGTCCCTGGGCTCTCACACTTTTGTTAATAATCAGCTTCCCAAATGGCTCTGTTACTGGATAATATGAGGAAATAACCTCCTTTGCAGCAGGTGATGCTCTCTGGCTCATTCGGTGTTGTCCAGAGCCTTCCATCTGTGCTCTTCGTGTGGGCAGAGGACCGGGCTGTTTTCTTCTCACGAGAAATAGCGCTCGGTGCTTTCTGCTTCCAGACTCTAGGCAAGCGTTTGTTTGCTTTTAATCAGTAAACATATTTGTAGGATGAAATCGGTCAGAGAATGAGCCACGGACTGGCCTGAGCTGATTCAACATCTCCTCCTCGCACAGCCCTCAGGGCAGGGGGCCTCTGCACCTCTTCCTGGGCGCCTTGTGGTGATATTTTGGCTGCAGGGATTGAAGGATCCTAGGGGATGTTTTTGTCAACTTTTTTTCTTCCTCCACAAGCCTTGCTCGCTGCTTTTCTACTTTGAGAAGACTGATGGCATTTACTATGAGTCTCTTCATTTAGTTTTGTAACGCTGGAGGACAGGCGAAGGGGAAGAAGATCAGCTGGCTGGTAAAAGTGCTCTGCCCTGGAGGATTCCTCTCAATCCCAAGGTAGAGATTTTGGCATCCCTCAGGAGCTATCCCTGCTTGCCCTCTGCTGCTGGCAGAGGTCTGGGGCTGTGCGATTGCATCCTGCAGCATCTCGTTATGGTTCCCGAAAGATGAATTAAAGCAGCTGCATTTGCTGGCACCTCCTTTTTTTTCCCCCATAGATATCGGTATGGAAAAATAACTCTTCCTATGAAGTTAGTGGGAAAGCTTTCTTTCTCCCAACTGCATATTTTATGTTAAAAATAGTGTATTGTGAAATTCCAACAGAGATGGAAATCCATCGATTAGCTGTCCCCAGCTCCTGGAAGAAGCTGCGTGTGAAAGCTGCTGATAGCGTGCGTAGTAGCGGTGTGTGGTTCATTCCAGGGCACAAAGGGGCAGCCTTCTGGTGAGGTTAGACACTTCTTAATTTTAAGTTTTACCCTGATTTTTTTTTCCCTTTTTAAAATGTGTGAGATTTTTACCTGTTCAGAAAGTGGGAGATGATAATTGGTGTTGCCGTGCAAGCCAGCAGAGTCCTGATTTCCACTTGTCAGATCAGCTGAGGTTCCTTTTGCTAGTTCTGATTGATAGCTTGGCGATACCAGATTAGAGATAAAAAAGCATTCTTGGTAAGTGGTCTTTTTAAGGCTTTGACAGAGCACTTTGAATACTCTGAACTTTAATAGGCAGCTTCACAGGTAGCACATCTGTGATCTATTTTGCTTTACCATTTTTCAGTGTACTTACATGTGTGTATTTACTATTTTTGGTGGTTTAGGTGGTAGAGATCACATTCTGTTCCTTGAGAAGAAAGCCATATTTAATTAAAGATATCTTTAGTACCCACAACAGTTTCCTGCTCTTAAATGAGAGGCGCTTTAGTTTGAGATCAACACCATGGCTTTGTTTGCGTGTTACTTATGGGTGATTTGCTAGGAAAATCACAGTTCGATTGGTTTGTGTTTGAGCGTTTTCCTGGCACGCAATGTTATTTTCATTCAGGTTAACCCTGATGTGACACATTTCCTAACCCCCATTGTGCTACTGGTAGCGTGAGGTGTCTTTAAAAACATAATTGCTAATAAAAATACATGGAACTGCACGCAAGGAAGACGAAATGCTCAGAAGTGCAGGAAGATGCAGCTTGGGAAAGATGCGAGGTCTCAGTGCAGTGCCGTAGGGATGGGTCAGCTCCAGCCTGCACCCCTTCTCTTCCAGCCACCCTTTCCTTCCTTCAGGCATTTCAGTGTTGGTTTTTGTTGTTGTTGCTTTAAATATTCAGCCCCCCAAATATTTTTCTTCTGTGGACTGCAGCTATCTTGTATGTGTAAAAAGAAGGGGAAATATTTTTACAGAAATCACTCGATTTTTAAGGTTTCTGGTGGAAAGATAGCAACATTTTGGCAAGAGACATAAAAATTACGTTGTATGTTTACTTTAATCTCTTGGAAAATCATGTTTAGTTTTTCCTTTTGGCAACTGCAATTTTATTTTTAATACCTGCGTTAGTACACCATGTTTTTTGTTGATGTTGTTATGAATTCAGCTCCTTTGATATTAAGCCCCGAGAAGAGAATTTAATACTTCTGCTGTGACTCATTTCATCGACCTTTTGCTCTTTGCAATAGACTTCAAGATTTTCCTGATTTGTAATTTATTCTCGGAAACCTCACAGCTCCGTTTCAGAAGTTACCTTTTCTTCATCCCCTGTCACACACGAGGCAGGAACAGCTGATAGTGTTGCTTTCCTGAGGCTGCTGTCTTCATTCCTGAGCCATCGTGGTGGAAAACTCCCCCAGATTGCAGAACAGATGACTTTTTCCTTATTTTTATATGGTTAAACAAGTCTGTGTTTGCCTGGGACTCTGACACGCTAACTGCTATTCCCATCCTTCACCATCTTCATCTTTTTAATTCCGTACCAGACCATCCCAGGTTTTGCAGGGATCTAAAAGCACGCCACCTCTGCAGCTCTTGTCCCGCGTTTCCTGATGAGCACCATCAGCCAGAACTGCCCGTGTTGTCCCGACGCGTACACCTCAGCACCAGGCAGCTTCGTTGGAGCTGGAGCCACTGTTCCAAGCTGGCATTTCTCCTTCTTCCTCTTGTACTCCAGCCACTTGTTAGGTTGGTCGTGGATATTTTTATAGCGCAAGCATTAAAAGGCTTGGGCAGCGTGGAGCGAGGCAGACAGCAGCTATTAGGGCCTCTTTTCAAGATTACTGATTTAGCTAAAAAGAGAAACCCGATCTTGTTTCCCTGACCTGCCAGGAGGTAATAGCATTCCGTTTCTTTTCTTAACTGTGTGAAAGAGAAATAAAAGTTCCAATGGTACCCTGTAGGTTATTCATTTACACAGAGGAAGCTGTGAGTTACGAGGAGAGCTGGTAGAGGAACAGCGATCGTGGTATATTTCTGACAGGCCTTAGCAGAAGGGAGGAGTGTAAGGGTGTGGACCATTAACCAGCCCCCTAAAATGTCACAGGAATATACGTTTTACGTGCCCCAAGCCGTTTCACGAGTTCTTTGATAATTAATGCTGTTTGAGCACTTTGTTCCCTATAAAATCGGCAGCTCTCCAGGCAGCAGCTTGGAAATACTCCTCTTCCTTCTGCTTTGCGCTAGCCATGTCCAATTGCTGTTTTCATGTCAGCTCCGGTATTAAATCCACAGTCGTTCCCTTTTCTCTCACGAACGCTCAAAAGGCATGTTACGCTTCGGAAATTGCAGCTTATAGCATTTTCTAATTGCTTTCAAAGCTGGTGACTTATGGGAGCATATTAAGCACCCGGCACTTTAAAGCTGGTGATCTCTTACGTAAAAATATTAGCCCAAATATTTTTCGTACGCGTGCTTCTCAGCACATCGAGCTTTATGGCTGGTTTTAGGCCCTGTGGTAAACAAGAGTGCTAATGGAACTGTTGGAAGCCCCTTTAAAAAGGGCTCGCAGACCTGTATATGCTCTGGGTGACGTTCAGCTTTGATTAAATGCTCTAATAAAGCCTGCATCTGTGTTGTTATTTTCACGAGGAAATCCAGAAGGGAACGCTGCATACGGCTCTGCTTTTGGGTTATCTTTTGATCTATTTCCATCTCAACATGTGTCTCCGATGTTTTTAGCTGGAGCGTTTGGGGTTTTTAATGAGGGCTCGTTTAAAAAATTTGCTGCCAGTGACCAGACAGGAGGCAGGGCGCACAGAACAAACCAGCATGGTCCTGACTGGCACCGGTTCTCCTTTCCCCTCTCTCTCCTGCCCTCTCCTGACACCGTCACAGGCTTGTTTGGCCGTACTACGGCTGCTCTTGGGCAGACAGAAGTTCTGGTAAGGTGTATGTTCGTCTCACCACCTCTCTCCTTCTCTTTCCCCTCTTCTCCTTCTCTCTGCTGTCTCAGCACCGTGCTTCTCACACTCGGACTCGCTGCGTACTTTTGGCAGGGGGTGTTTGCAGTTTTATCAGCTTTTGCTGATAACAAGCTCCCGGCTTTTCTGGTCTTTGCAGAGTGGATGGAAATTGGTTGATAGAGCAAAAAAGTAAACTCAAGACACGATCTTGTGCTCTGGAGCGAGCCCCATCTCATCAAGGACAGCAAGTAGGTGTGTGGGGAGAGTCCAGGAGAGCTGGCACGCACAGCTCCATGTCTTGCTGCTGCCCCAGGGCTTCAGGTCTCTTCTCTGGACCCAAATTTCTTTTCTCTGGAGCAGTTTTGCAGCTTTAGTTGGTATTGCTTCTGTCAAGAATAACTGAAGCATTTCTGCCAGTAAAATACTGAGTATGCAAAAGTTGTGATCGATGTACATTGCGGGATCTGAAAAAACAACCACTTGCAAGCTTGTCCCGTTCCCTTCTCCCCTTCCCTTCTGGATCAGTAGATCAGCTCACGGCTTGCGCTCCTCCTGCACCCGTGGGTTTACCGGGGCTTGGGCCGCGCTGCAGCTGGGAGGTAAATGACATGTGCTTCTAATAAGAGTCCATGAGAATCGCACAGACCTGCAGGGAGCAGAGTCCCTGACTTAATTAGGGGTTATCAGATCAGTATGAGTGCTCAAACATTAACCACTGCAGTGCCACATCCTGTAGATACTGGTCCTGGAGCTTGCCATTTCCTTTGAGTTTTGAGGCTGAGCAGCACATAGCTAGGACCTGTTTCTGTCCTTCTGTTACAGATGAGGTTAAAAGCCTTGTCAACAGGATTGTAGGTAAGACAAAGGTAAAAAGTTTTCTTTGCGTTTTCTCCTCGCAGAGCTGCTGAACCAGGTGCTGCAAGGCTGCACTTTAATACTTGAATGTTTGCTTCTGACTAGGAGATGGGGAAGCTGATACAGTGAACTTAGCTTAAGACTTCCTGCCATGAAAATGGAAAATCAATTAGAAGAATCCGACTAAATACTACTTTTTTTGGATAAAAAGCACGGATTCAGTATGTTTCCTCAGCATATGTTGAGTCCTCTCTTGTTTACAGACTGCAGTAAAAGTTGCTGCACAAATTGGAGAAAGAAAGGAGCTGCTTTCTCCTCCCTACTTGTGCTGTTGTTGGGTGTTTCTGACACCAGGATTCTTGGTGCAGAAGCCCAAAATGCCCCTAGGCTGCTTCTTGGATCCCATTTGGGGCTAGAGACGGGGAGAGTGATATTTTAAAGCTTCAGCCTCGGTTTTGATCGTATATGCAGAGATGTAGAGTTCGCTTTGTAGGCTGCATTGCAGCTCCGTTTGCACTGTAATTCGCGGAGTCCAAATATTGCTGGAATTAGTCACAGAGCCTATTCTGCCTAGGAAAGTGGGGAAGGAGAAGGGCTGGTATTATTGCTCATCAGCGATATTGGGCTGCGCTAGAGGTTGTCTGCGCTGCTTAGTGTCTGTTGGTGATCTTTGGAGCTAAGGAGGTGAAGTCGAGCGTGTTTTGATTTGTGCTTTATTTGAGGCGTACCGAGCCTGTGTTCAACGACCAGCACAGGGCTGTTTAATTGAATCTCATTTTCGTGTATGATTTCATTTTTTTTATTGTCAAACTTCTCTCTTTTGTGATCGACCACCCCCACCCCGCAGCACACAGCCCAGTCACTCTGCTCTAATGTTCTTTCTTTGCAGGTGAACAATCAGAATAATGTTCAACATAAACCTGTTGGAGAACCTGAAGGTTTACGTCAGCAGCCGACCTCCGCTTGTGGTCTTTATGATCAGCGTAAGCGCTATGGCAATAGCTTTTCTGACACTGGGCTATTTCTTTAAAATCAAGGAGATCAAGTCACCAGAGATGACAGAGGTACGGTACAAGAAGTTCCCAGGTTGAACAGTGGGAATACTGATTTGAAATACATGCACAAAGCTAATGAGTTCCTTTTTCCCTCCTGAAAACCTTTTTATGGCGGTGCAAGAGTCTTATGGGAGATTGTTTTCAGCAGACTTGCCACTGATTTTACAGGAAAAGTGACTGTTGGTGTGAATGTGTGAATAGTCTTATTTTAGTTTAAGGGTGAGGCCAAATCATCTGACTTGGATTTTCCCTGCCATGGCTAGGAGCCTTTTTTTTTTTTTTTAGTTTTTATTATTATTCCATGATGTCAGCTAGCTTGTTTGCGAATCTTCTGTTCTTACCTAGCGTTACCGTGCTGTAAGGAGGAAAACCTTGGTGGAAACTGCTTGTACCCTGAGCGCAGTGAGGGTGGACCAAACCAGTATATTTCTGGAGTTTCAAGAAGGGTATTCTTCTGCTGTGCCCAGCAGTGGCCAGGCAGTGGTTGGGACTGAACACTTCAGACTTTTGTAAACAACTTGTCCCATTGTTGAGATAGCCACGGTGGTGTTTGTGCTTGCTTCGTGAGCCATGTAATTTACGTTAAATGGCTTGAAACTGCAGGCAGGATAGTACGTAGCAAGGTCTGTGCTGCTGTAGTAAAGTGGCAACCAGAAGTTAACTTGCTAATCCGCTCTAAATCTTTGTGTTTGTTTGAAGGACTGGAATACTTTCCTCCTGAGGTTTAATGATTTGGACTTCTGTATATCTGAGAATGAAACCCTAAAGCATCTCATCAATGATACCACAACTCCAGAAAGTACCGTGACCAGCGGCCAGGCGAGATCTTCTACACAGTCTCCACAGACTCTTGAGGACTCTGGTCCTATAAACATCTCTGTTACAATCACGTTGACGCTGGACCCACTCAGACCATTTGGCGGATATTCCCGCAATGTCACACATCTAAGTTCCACAATTTTTGGACACCAAATCGGACTCTCAGGTATGCGGGACTTGACTTGTATAAATTTGAATGACAGCTACAGATTCAAATGAAAACTTTATTATTGGTGAGATGAATCTTTTGCTTAGAGAAGATTTATTGTGAGTGGAGTCCTGTACAGAACCCTTCACTTGCTCACATTTTGAAGGCATTAACTTATATACTTTAGAGATCAAGTAGTGTATTGCCTAAAAAATACAAAGTTTAGTTAAAATGCACACATAAATTTTAATACTGCAAACAGCAACAAATAAAATGATTTAAATTTCTGTGGAATGAAGACCTCTTATTTGGCTGCCCTGACAGCTTTGACATGAGATCAGATTGTTAACAATAGAACCTTGTGGAATTTTAGCTTTTAACCAGGGTTGCATTTTATAACCATGTCTGAAGGTGTCTTGAACCTCAGAGATCTGTAAGGAGATATTTGCCATAGCTGTAAATCTGTGTTCTTGTATTTTATGTTGTTATTTTGTTACTGCTTTGTGTGCTATCAAATGCAGGTTCCGTTTCAAGTAGCCTGGAATTATTTTCAGTAGGAATATGTCCATGTGGATTTAGTGTAGACTACTTAATCTGCAGTTCAGTATCTGCTAGCACCTTTTCATCTGCACAAATATCTCCAATTTGAAATGTGAGCTTCAGAAAAAGCAGATGTTCAATAATGTCTTTGGCAGGAGAAAGGCTAAAGAAGTGTGATTGTACTTTCTAATAAAATTCTCAGAACATGCATGAATTCATTTATAAATAGGGAGGTATTTGTTTCTGAAAGGAGCCTGATGATCAATCCCACTTCTTTTGGGGGCAGGAGAGATTAGAAAGACCAGCAGTTGTTATTTTCAAATTTTTCTGGTGCTTTTTGTTGTTGTTTTTTAAACTTTTTCTGCTTTCTCCGTTGATAATAAAGATGCTGGGTGACTTCAAAGGTACAGATCCAGGGTAATGTTGCCTTCTTAATCAATTGCACGCCTTCCTTATCCTAGCGATTGTTGCTTGGCTACTTTTGTGATTGGAAAACAGCTTTCCTTCTTTCCTCCTCTCTTTCTCAAAGGCAGAGAATCCCACGAGGAGATAAACATTACGTTCACCCTGCCGACTGCCTGGAATTCAGATGACTGCGTTCTTCATGGTCACTGCGAGCAGGTCGTATTCACAACCTGCATGACTGTGACAGCAGCCAGCAACGTGTTTCCTGTCACAGTGTAAGTGCATTTTAAACTCTTTCATAGACTGGCTGTTGGGTGATTAATTTCTCAGCTGCTTCTCTGAGGTTGTCACATCTGATGAATGTTGTTGTTGACTGGATATCGTGTACCTGCTTTCCTTTCCCTGCCATAAAACCCTGTCTGTCTTGAGACTTCTGCTGTCTTTTAGCAAGGCTAGATTTTTCTGTGAATGTTTTGTCTCTAGGCATGCCTGCCTTTCAGCATGCAGCCTGTGATTTAAACTTCAGTAGGAACTATGGGATCAGTGAATATTTAAGAAAGATACCCTATAATTTAGTTTCACTACCTTGTATGAGAGCTAAGACTTGACTCTGAGGATCTTATCCTCTTCCCTGCCAAGAGATGAGCATAAGCTGAACGTTGCTTTGCTACCAAACCCAGCAGGTGCAGACCTTTCATCAAAATAGTTTCCCTTTGTCTCCTCCAGACTCCCTGACACTATTCAGTGTACTCTGGAGAACCATCAGACAGGTTCCCAGGACTGTATGAAGCCATATGAAAACCAGTATTTTTCTAATTAAGCCGTGGGGTGTTGACTTACTGGAACAAAATTCAGTTAAATTTTAATGTTCATATAGAAATCATATGTTTTTTATACAGTCTTTTGGTGAAGACTTTTTTTTTTTTGCTGTTTTGTAAAACTGTGTTTTATACTGCTGTTGAGGAGACTGGGCCTGACTCAGTTCTGAAAGTTAGCCTTACTGAATACGGAGAATGGCAATTAAGGTGCTAATTATTTCTGTTTTTCTGCAGTCAGCCACCACATTGCGTTCCTGAAACGTACAGCAATGCCACACTTTGGTACAAGATCTTTACCACAGCAAGGGACTCTAATACAAAATATGCACAAGATTATAACCCTTTCTGGTGTTACAAAGGAGCAATTGGAAAAGTGTACCACGCTTTAAATCCCAAACTAACTGTTATAGTTCCAGATGTAAGTGCCCCGGTGTTTTTACACGTTATGTTGAATGAATGTGGTTTAACTGAATATGGGTCCCAAAATAGTCAGATTTAGTGCTTTTTTATTATATTCAGCACAGGGGCTGAAACAGAGTTGGATATGCTTCATCACTGGTGGGCACGATGGTGTTCATGTAATCTCTATGGCCCTCACAGTTTTTAATAACCACGCTTCATATTCTGAAATCATTTGACAAAAGGCAGTTCTTGTATATGGGAAATCTCTAGCACAGAGTTTTAAAATAAGGAGCATTTTGGCTCTTTTTGTGCCACAATTAAGAATCCCTTTCATTACTATGCCATCTTTTAATAGGGGAGAAAGTTGATTCATGAAGTAATTCCTGTGCTGAACTGGTAATTATTGCTCTAATATTAAGTGTCAACTATTGGTGCATTGTCACTAAATGGTTTTAATTTTCTGTGCAGGATGATCGCTCTCTAATAAACCTGCATCTCATGCATACCAGTTACTTTCTTTTTGTGATGGTGATTACAATGTTCTGCTATGCAGTTATTAAAGGCAGACCAAGCAAACTGAGGCAAAGCAATACAGAATTCTGCTCTGAAAAGGTGAGTTTGAGTAATAACAAAATATTGACTCTGTTAAAACATAGCAAGCCTTTTTTTTTTTTTTACATAGTACGGACTAGTTCTTATCTCTTGAAATGTAGGCTTAATTCCTTTTCAAAGAGATGTGGGTGTTTTATCGTGGACAGTAAAGAAGGGTTCTACAAAATACATATATATGCTGTGTAGGTCCTCAGTTAGATTTCTCTCCTCCAGAAGTGGATTATTGCAGTTCAGGAAGTGCTATAATGCAGCTCTTCTGCCACACTTCTGTTGTTATTCTCGCTATTTTGTATGAAGCATTGATTAGATAGCACCGAATGGTTTTATTTACCTTTCATCGCAACAGACTGAAAATTTTGAATAAAACATGATACATAATTCTGATTAGCAGCCATTAGAATTACAAAAAACAATCACAAAGGTATTGAAACAGTCATTATTCAGTATGCATTGGAGATGTGGACTTTGCTTGAAGGATTAAATATGAATATATTTATTGTGAAGTAGGAAATGAATGTTGGCACCCTTTGATCTTAATGATTTTTTGTAACATAAGCTGTTTTGTTTTGTATTGTTTTTAAATTGATTATGCTAAGAACAAAATACCTTCAGACTTGCTTTGATTTCCTTTCCAAGTTAGACTTCCAAGGTTCTTCGAAAAAGGCAAGGACAGATATGCCAGCTGCATGGAGATAAGTAGTATCACTGTTATGGGATTAGGAATTTGACTTTAATTAAATGTTTTCTTTTTCTTTTGTTTAGGTTGTTTTGTCAGAAGCATAATCCATCCTCTTCTTTTACTGAGAATGACTGAGAACCGTAATCATTGCCTGCTGAACCCAGAATGGGTCTTAACACTCTGTGAATACATTATCTTGCAATGTTGGTTTATTCCAACCAAAGACATTTCAAGTGCCTGTAATTGATTTGTACATATTTATAAAAGTATATTCAGAATAGGTCAGATGATGCACTTGTTCCGCATTGTAGTGCGGCCAGAAACTTTCAGTCTTTACCTGTGGACATAGCCGAATGTTTGTGTAGATATGTTTAGTGATATGGCTACATATAGTCAGAGCAAGATATTTTTGTCTAGCTGCATCTGGGCAGGTTAAGATGCCTTTGCAAATGTCTCAAACAAAACAATGACTCTTTGTTTTTTGCCCAATGATATGTACAGTGTGTTTGAAACAGTATGCACCTTTGATATAATACTGCATTTCCAGAGCCACCAATCTACTACATGAATTAAATGTGTATTTGTGTGGCCTGATACCTTCTTCCATTTGCTCCTTGCTTGCAAGAAAAGATATGAACATTTTTAGATATTTTTTTTGAAAAAAAGAAATACATATACACATTTTAATAGTGCTGTATTTAGGACAAACTTGTGCTTTTAATCATAGTAAAAACTTAAGAAGTGAAGTCCCATTTTAAAATCTTTCTTATTGAAAACTGCTAAGTTTGATTATTTTTTTTTCCATTTGGCCTGCTGAATGCCAGAGAATCAGTCAGCATAGAGACTACCTGGAAAGCTTTCTACTTAGCCTCCCATCTGCAGTCCTCAGACCCAGAATATGCATCTCCGCTGCAGAGCAGCTTTCTGTAAACATTTTTTTCTAGAAAGTGAAACTTGGTTAAAAGATGCATTGTATTAACTGTCTGTTGGGGCTCTGCACAGCCTTGGGCAAGTGCAAATAATGAAAGAGAAAGAAATCCCATAGTCTGTTACCAACTCTCACTTTGGGACTCTATCCATCTCTGAAGGGCAGCTGAAAATGACACTTTATTAGCTTAGTCCAATTTCAATTTAATGCTGTGCACTCGGGGGAAGATGATGAGGAGTGAACTAGTACTTGCGATTAAGGTCAGAGAGACCACACAGTAAAATTCATACTGTTCTCTGTGTCCATTCTTAAATCAGAGGAGTTTTTGTGATGTGCATTTTTCCCTTTCTCATTCTGGCTTTTGCTGTTTCTTTCCAGCTTGTTATTTGGTAACCTCCTTAATTTTCAGGAGTCTGGATTTTCCTGCAGACATTTCCACCACTGCTTTTAAAATCTCACTGATTGCCTTAATTGATCTTTCATCTTGTCTTCGTAGAACCATAGAACGGGGTGGGTTGGAAGGAACATTAAGGATCATCTAGTTCCAACCCTCCTGCCATGGGCAGGGACACCTCCCACTAGACCAGGTTGCTCAAAGCCCCGTTGGGCAACCTGTTCCAGTGCCTCACCACCCTCCTAGTGAAGAGGTTCTTCCGGTTCTTCCTTCTATCTAATCTAAGTCTACCCTCTTTCAGTTTAAAGCCATTGCTCCTTGTCCTATCACTACAAGCCCTTATAAATAGACCCTCTCCAACTTTCTTGCAGGCCCCTTTTAAGTACTGGAAGGCCACTAGAAGGTCCCCCTTCTCTTCTCCAGGCTAAACAACCCCAGCTGTCTCAACCTGTCTTCACAGAAGTGCTCCAGCCCTGTGATCATCTTTGTGGCCGTCCTCTGGAGTTGCCTTAACAGCTCCATGTCCTTCTTATGTTGGGGCCCCCAGAGCTGAATGCTGTACTGCAGGTGGGGTACAGGGGGGAGAATCACCTCCCTTGCCCTGCTGGCCATGCTGCTTTTGATGTAGCCTGGAATACAGTAGACTTTCTGAGCTGAAAGACCACCACACCAGGTCATGTTGAGCTTCTCATCCACCAGCACCCCCAAGTCCTTCTCAGGACTGCTTTCAATCTGTTCTCCACCCAGCCTGTGTTTCTGCTTGGGATTGTCCCATCCCAGATGCAGGACATTGCGCTTGGCCTTGTTGAACTTTATGGCGTTTGCACAGGCCCACCTCTCAGGCCTGTCCAGCCAGGTTCCTCTGGATGGCATCCCTTCCCTCCAGCATGTCGACCACACCACATGGCTTGGTGTCACTGATGAACATGCTGGGGGTGCACTCGATCCCCCTGTCCACAACAGAGATGTTAAACAGCACCAGTCCCAGAACCAATGCCTGAGGAACACTGCTTGTCAGGGTTCTCCACGTGGATGTTGAGCCGTGGACCACAGCTCTTTGAGTGCAACCATCCAGCCAATTCCTTACCAACCGAGCTGTCCATCCATCAAATCCACATCTCCAATTTAGAGACAGTATCATGGAGGACAGTGTCACCTATCCACCAACGCTGTAACCCTCTTGTAGAAGGCCTCCAGATTTGTCAGGCACAATCTGCCCTTAGTGAAGCTATGTTGGCTTCACCAATCACCTCTGTTTTCCACGTGCCTTAGGAGGGTTTCGAGGAGGATCTGCTCCATGATCTTGCCGGGCACGAGAGGTGAGGCTGACTGGACTGCATTTCCCCGGGTCTTCTTTTTTCCCTGTTCAAAAATGAGGGTTATGTTTCTCTCTTCCAGTCAGTGGGAATGTCACTGGACTGCCACAGCTTCTCAAATATCATGGACAGTGGCTTAGCAACTTCATCTGCCCGTTCCCTCAAGGCCCACAGTTGCGTCTCATCAGGTCCCATGGGCCTGTGCACCTTCAGGTTCCTTAGCTGGTTTCAGGCCCGGTCCTCTCCTACAGAGGGTGGTTCCTCGTTCTCCCAGTCCCTGCCTTGGCCTCCTGCAATTTGGGTGGTGTGCCAGTGGTCTCTTGTTTGTGAAGGCAGGCAAAAAAGTCATTGAGTTCCTCAGCCTTCTCTATATCCCAGGTAATCGGGTCTCTCATTTCCTTAGAGAAACCTTTTAGTGCTGACGTACCTATAGAAGCTTTTCTTACCCTTGATGTCCCTGGCCAGATGTAATTCTATCAGGGCTTTGGCTTTCCTGACTTGATCCCCAGCTGCCTGGACAATTTCGCTATATTCCTTCCAGGCTACCTGTCCTTGCTTCCACTCCCTCTAGTCTGCTTGAGTTTGTCCAGAAGTAACTTGTTCATCCATGAAGGCCTCCTGCCCGACTTCCTCCTGAGCTTGGAGGAGGCGATCCTTGAATCGCCTTGATCCTTGGCTCCTATATCTCTTGGGGAAGGAAGTTTTCATCAACACATTTGTGTAACATCCTAGGTTGCTTGTGCCCTGCTGTGCTGTCCCTCCAACAGATAATGGGGTGGTTAAAGTTCCCCTGTGAGGATCAGAGCTTGTGGATGTGAGGCTGCTCCTGTCCATCTACAGAGGGGCCTCATCCACTTGGTCTTCCCAGTTGGGTGGCCTGTAGCAGACCCCCACTACAGTGCCACCTGTCCCTGCCTGCCCTTTAAACCTGGCCCCTCAACTTTCTGTGGCTCCTCATCCATCCCCACGCAGAGCTCCATACACTCCAGCTGGTCACCAACACAGAGGGTGATTCTTCCTGCTCGTCTCCCCCTGCCTATCCTTCCTAAAGAGCCTCTATCTTCCCATCCCAACACTCCAGCCATGGGGGCCATCAGGCTGCTCCTGGCTAAATTGCTGGTGTCCCTATGAAACAACAGCAGCAGATAATAGCCAGGGGGCTGTATGAGGCATGCTAGTTTCTTGGTGACATCTCTGATACAAGCCCACAGTAAGCAGCACACCTCCATAGCGTGTCAGGTTGGCAGATGGGTGCCTCTATACCTCAGAGAGTCACCTACTATCTCCCATTGCCTTTTCTTAGCCATGCTGGTTGTTATATGGGGAACACATCTGGCTGCCTTGCTCAGCTCCAGCATCTCTCCTGATGTGATGGGTCTCTCCCCTTCAGTCTGTGGAGCAGTAAAGCGGTTCTGCAAGGGCACCTCAGCCTTTGGGGGAAGCCTTTTCCTCCTGCTGGTCCTTGCTGCTGCAAGCTTCCATCCTTCCACATTATTGGCCCCTCTCCCTTCTGTACGTGCCCGTGGGGGAATCTTTGGCTGTTTGGCTGTGGGTCCACTGCAGGCTGCGCTTGGAACCAGTTATCTAACTCCATCTCGGCCTCCCTAATGTCACACGGCCTTCTCACCTCCTCCTGCAGCTCAGCCACCTGCTGCAGGAGGTCCTCCACCTGGGCACACCTTTTGCAGGTAGGTCTGCAGCCCACACATATGCTTTTCTCTCTTTCTTTGGTAAATATTGCTCTAAAGTACACAAAACAAGAAAACCCAAGTAAGGTCTTACAGTCTCAATTATGCTGGCATAAGATTCTTAGTTTATTACACATAGACACTACTGGGATTGGTACCCTACTGGTTCGTGGGTCTGTATCTATAGGACTTCAGTATTCAGCAAGTTCACAACTCTTCAGAGCATTTGAAGCAAATAACCATGCTTTTCTTCAGAACGTATTTCCATTCCAGAGTTTCGGTTACTTAAATGGTGTTAACTAACATGCATTTTTCTCCAGGGATGTTAAGGTAAAGTTTGAGAGATGGCCTAGTTTGGAGTCTAGGGATAAAATGAAGCTTCCGTTTTTTCTCCTGATGCTGCTATGGGCTAATACTGCTTCACTGATGTGAGTCAGTGAAGTAACACAGGTAGACAGCTTCTCCTGAAAATTGTCTGAGCTGTTCCTAATTAATTCATGCATACCCAGCCTTCTGCATTGATACTGACTTCGAGAGTTGCCTACGAGGGTGGCTTGATCTCGGGACCAAAGGCAGGAAGAGGAAACTGATTGGGGTGGTGTTGCAAATTCTGGAAATACCTATAAAAACCACAATGCGACTCCTTTAAAAAAGCAAACCCATATCCTTTCTGTTTCAGCAACCTAAAGATCCACCTCCAAATGTCCTATTTACGAATTGGTCTGGTGGGGAAAACAGATATTTTTTTTTTTAAATCAGTTTTGCTATTTGGTAATTAGAGGAGCCTGCTTTGCAATTTGTCACCCACTGCATTGAAATACAGAGAAATGCTAAGATTGTGACCAACAAAAGCAAAAGGGAAAATGTTAGAGAAATGTATTTTTGGCCTTAGCTTATCCCTTTGCACCCATGTATTGCAGCAGAGAGCTAAGTGTGTCCATCAGGTTGAAATGCTGTAATACTGAGGAATATTGGATTGTTCCTAGGCGCAATGTACAAAAGTTAAATGCAGCCAAACAGAAGAGTAAAAACTTAATATTAAAGTTCAGATCATATTGATCTTTCCTTTTTTGTTTTCTTTTTCTTTTTAACTATGACTTGAATCAGTTTTGATTCTATTTGTACGTGTTTTCTTGTTCTTAGAAAGCTGCCATTTTCTTTTGCATTTTTCTTTGGCATTACGTAGAAAATCTGAGCCTTGGTTTTCAACCCTCTGCAGGTGATTGTAGGGTTAAGATGGCTTCTTTTGTTTTGTTTTGTTCTTACATTTCACTTGTCTTGTTGCATGATGGTTAATAGCTGATTTGGAAATGACATTTCTCTCCTAGATTAATTTTGTGTTTGTAAGATGTGCATATTGCTTTGCAGAATAAAACTGATGAAGTTTATTTTGTTGTCTTTATTTCTGCTAACCAGATGCTATGGAGGTTTCATAAATCATTACATTATATGCACCCTTGGAAGAAATCAGTAGTGAAAATCTATAATGGATTGGAATTTCAAATCCTTTGTATGGTGCAGTAAGCACCTTTTTATGTGTTATGGGGGGTAGGGAATGCAGCTGGTTCCCATCATGACAAATGCAGAATTTGACTTAGACACATCTCTGCTGTTGCTGTTTTTCTTGGAACCTCGTAATCTTTTTGTCTCTTATCAGTCACAGGTACATAAAGCTTGTTTTATTGATGCAGTGCAGATTTCTGTGCTGAACGTATACAGGTGGAGCACTAGGAGTGTGACAGAAGAGAACAGAGAACAGCCTTAGCTATTTTTCTGAGACCAATGTGTTGTTAATAGTCAAATCAGTTTTTATTCCATTCACATGTATTTCCCCTTTCAGAATCCCAAAAATTTCTGCCAAATATCATCTGCCTTCTGTGTTGACAGTATTATTAGATTTAGCAGGAAAACCCCCAAAAAGGTGGACTTCTTGCTGCAGTAAGGACCTATGAGAGGAAGCAAAACGTTGAAATAAGCACTTGTGATTGTCACAGAACCTGAAAATGGAGCAATGCTAAGAGAAGTACTCAGTATGCCTAGATCATTATCATGCCCACCCCCTGCCTCCTTGCTACAGGTGCTCTGTAACTCACTGAGCTGAACTGAGACCAGATCCTGAGCATTCCAAAATGCTTGCAGGTGGCTTGAGATCATTGAAGGACATATATGGATGGCTTTTGAAATCAAGATAATGTAACTCATTAAATTCTAGCTCCAGTTATTGTGCAGCTGGAACAAGTTGCACCTGCATGTTTTCAGTGCTTGAGGGAGTAGGAAAAACATACTTGGTGTTGCTCTTGGAAGCTTGTTAAAAGCTAGGCACTGAGTATTTGACAAGCACAAGAAGGCCAGCCTGTCTTGCTTTGCTGGAGAATGGAGTTCAAAGCATTCACACAGTGCTCTAACATACTCTGGATGTATGCAGATGGTGCCTATTCAAATCTAGTGACAAATGGGAGCATTGTTTAAAAGCAAATCTGTGAAGTTGTTTAAGATTCTTTTTTTCTGGGGAGAGAAACTCTGAGAATTAATAGAAAAAAAAAAAAGTGAATTTAAGAGAATAGCTTTGACAAATCCCCTTGGTTTGGCTCTAGGAAGTCTGGCTAGCTCTGAAATGTCTGCCCTGAATTAGCATTAAAGCCCTGTGTTAGCATGGTCTCAATTTGGAGTTAGTCTGTCACTGTTTCAGTTAGCAAAGCAATCCTCTTGGCCTCTGCTGAATTCAGTCTGTCAGCCAGCAGAGAGGAAGAGAGAGGCGCTAGGACATGTATTCACTTGTTTCCTGTTAAACAAACTTTCTTTTATAACTCCAGCAGCCACTATTTGGCAAATACGCACATATGTTCAGTGGGCTCTGGAGAAGTGCAACTTCCTTGAAGCAAATCCTGGTTTTAAAGCTATTACTGCATAGAATTATACATGGGTAGACTTAAAGGAGGACCTATAGTGAATTTCCATTTGGAAAATGTAGTTAGTAAATGAACAGGTAATGTAATGCGTTTTTTTTTCTGAAGTAAAGGCAAGGAACCTGCTGTCTGGAACAGCTGACAAGCCTCTTGCATAGGGAAAGTCTTGCTGTAATTTGGTACCACTGTTCTTTCAAGGCCCTCTCCTGGCTCTTCGTAGCATGAGCAACCTAAAAGTAAGTTTTAAGCAGGTAGTAGTGCAGTGGGAGAAAACCAGGCTGCTTTGCTGATGTATAACAGGACATTTCCAAGAGCCGGAAGGTTGGAAGGGTGGGGTGAGCAGAAGGGATTTGTTTGATAGCACTGTAATCAGGCTGTTTGCTCCTAACAATGGTGTTTGTTAACAAACAAACAACGGCAATGAAAAATTATGTAAAGCTTGCTCATCTGGAAAAAATGCACACACCATGTTTGCAATCAGATTACATCTAGTGTTAGCAGGCAGCTACAGATTGGGATGAGAAGTACCATCTGCTGTCAGCAATGGCATTTCTTTAATCGGGCGCTTTGTGCCAAATATTTTGGTATTATGTGGAAGTATTGCTGAAAAGGAGGAACAGCATCTGTCTTCTTGCAGCAGTGCCTTCTTTCTGCAAGCAAATTTCCTTAGCCTTCTTTTTAAAAGAGTTTCAAAGAAATGTCCCCAGAAGTGCATATGAATAAATATGCTGAAATTTAGATTGCAATTTCTTTTCCATCCAGTGTTAATCAAAATATTGCTAGCAATGATTTACCTGGCAGGATGAAAAATAAATCAAAGTAGAAAACTACACATGTTAAACTCTGTGGACCTGTCTGCCTTTAACCAGTTAATTCAGTGACTTTCAAACTTGATTTCTGAGCTGCACAAACATCCTCCTTGGAAGATGTCTGAGAACTTGTATGTACAAAGGTTTCTTTGTGGTGTCTGTTAACTTGGGTAGTCTTTCTGTTAGCCTTTGCCAACTTTTCAGATGTAGCTTGGGGACTGACCTTGAGGTGTCTGTTAACCCCACGCTGAAAACAACTCAGCTAAATAAATAGCAGAATTGCTGAGAACCAAGGTGCAGACTTGCTGGATTTGGATCTTTGTTCAGCGCTGATGCAAGCAGTGTTCCTGTCCATCAGCACACTGCACCAGCTCTCAAGAGATCTGGATTTCTTGCTCTGCCTTGCTGGGTGACTTGGGCAGCTTGCTTTATGTTTGCAGATCTCATTTTCTCCTGTATTTCTACAGGCTTTACAGCTGTACAAAGTGCTATAACCTTTGCTGATACAAACTTAGGGAGGTTATTACCTAACCTGCAAGGCTTCCCAGCAGAACCAATATTTGCTATCTATCTTTCAGAGACGTTTCTTTACAGGATGTTAAAATAAAAATTGGCCATCTAAGGATATACTTCCTTCTGTCATCTCTATTGTTTGCTTCTTGCACCAATATTCTTGTGCCTTGATAAAATAAGTAACTACTTGAGATTTCATCTGTAGCTAAACACACAAGTCAATCCATGCATGATCAGTTTCATAGACCTCGTTATTAAGGTTCGTGAATAGGAAACTGCCCAGTACGTTACATTGATTAGCATATACCATTGGAAAAGATCTCTTCTGGTTAATGACATTGAACTTGTAACAAGAGGGGGATTTACAGAGAGGAGGGTGACAATGACCACCTATAGTCTTTGTATAAAAGACTAACTTTGTTTGCTCCTACTGTGCAAGCAGTAGCTCAGGTAAATGAGTGACTGCAAAATGTGGGAAAACCCATCACGTCCTTGTTCCCACTTCACCCCAGAGCCTCATATAAACAAAATTACCATATTCTAGCAGGCACTTTTTGTAAGGGAAGTCATTCTGTGACCTGTAGGTGGGGATGTGGCCATGTGGAGCTCACCCTCCCTGCAGCACTCACCACAGCTCAGCACCCAAGGGAAGATTTTCACCTTAGAGTTTACTTGTTTCTGCTGGACTCCCCCTTTCCTTTGGCAGCAGCACTTGCTGAGCAGCTGAGTCCAAATTGCTGCCTGTGGCTCAGGTGTGTGGATTTGCCATTTTGTTAGTAACGAGGTGCCACAGGAGCTGCTGAGCGCCTCTGATTGCTCCTCAGCTGGTGGCTGGGGATGTGGTGATTGAGCTGGGGTGGTCACTGCTGGGCACTTGGGCATCTCCAGGGGGAGAGGTATTTCTGGCAGTGCATGTGGGGGTTTGGGGGTGATATAAAGAAACACTTAGAAGTGAACAAGTGGGACTGGAGCTGCCTCCTCCTGCTGGCGCTGCTATGGCTCAGGTAAGTCCCTGCTTGCAGGGGGCTACGGGGGCTGCGGTGCTTTTGTGTTGGGTGGCAAAACTGGACTCCAAAGTGAACCCAAAGGGGCTTTAGGAGGTGGTGGCTGGTGGGCTAGGGGGTTGCTACAGAGCTTAAAGCATCTGGGGCTGGCTGAACTTGCTGCTCTTTGAGCCTGAAGCAAGCAGGCTGGGAAGGAAACTTCCCGAGGAAATCCCTAGCGAGAGAGTCAGCGCTAGTACGGGGGGAGGACTAGAAATGAGTGAATTCAGATCAGGACAAGAGGCCTGGCGCTTCTGCAAAAAACTGACTTGAAGCACACAAGGACCTGAGGGAAAACGGGGCGGGAAGCAGCGAGGCCTGGCCCGGCCCTGCCCGCCCGATGCCGCCAGAGGGCGGCAGGAGCCCGGCCTGGAGCCGCCCGGGGCCGGGGCTTGGGCTTGGGCCTGCTTCCAGCGGGGCCGGGCTGCAGGGGGGGACACACGGCAATGCTTCTGCCCCCAGCCCTGTGGGGAAAGAGGGAGAGGATGGCAGAGCGCTTGAGAAGTGCCTGGAGCCGTGTAACTGTGCTCTGGGCAGTGAGTGGTGCTCGTGGCTCTGCCACGGGTCTTGTCTGGGTGTCCCCGTCCCTCCTGGGGTGTCTGCGTGCTGTAGATTCACAGGGAGCCTTCCTCACCCCAAAGAGGTGCTGGGGTCTGCGTCTGTCGGGTATCGTGGCTGAATGCCTGGACAGGCATTAGGAATTGCAGAGCGAGTGTAGGGTGCTGCCGTCCTTCCTCTGGTGATTGCCAGATATTGTTGTCCCCTAAAACAAGGGGTTTTCGTTTGGGAAGAGACGGAATATTGAATGACAGCAGTCTTCCAGCCCTTCCCCTGACATTCCCAAGCAGTTTCTCAGCTGATGTGCTCCTTTGGATTTGCTCAGTGCTCAGGTTCTTATGCTGTGCCACCCACCTGGTGATGTGCTTCCTCTCCTTACCTCCACCTGTGCTCCCAATAAGTAACCCACCGGCCTTAGCACTTCCTTAGCAGTAGGTGCGTGGTTTCCCTTGCGCAGCATCTGAGGCCACAGATGCCCTTTTCTAATTAGAAACAAACCTCTTATGCAACAGAGGCACTGCGGCGTTCCCAGGGCTGGGTGGTAGGGCTGGAGATGCTT